GCTCCATTTGGCACATATATCGGGAAAACTAGAACACAAAATTTGCGTTTGATTCACCTATATTCAAAATATAATTATAAATTATTCAATTTTAACCCCTAAAATTTGTTAATTTAACTAAGTAAGCCAATTTTTTTTTTAAATTGACAAAAACACCCCAGCAACCCAAATGTATCAGATTCCGGCCACCATTGCTAGAAGCTGGCCGGAATCTAGTGTAATGGAGCACTACCGGCTGAATCTGGCCGGGATTCAGCCGGTAGTGAGCCGATTTAGCATTTTTCGACCATATTCACGGTGGATCTGGTCGAAAAAGGCCAAATCTACGGCCAGATCTTTGGCTGTAGACAATCATCAACGACGGCCAAGATATGGTCGTCGTTGACTATCAACGACAGCCGTATCTTTGACTGTCATTGATGACCAAATGCGGCCAAATCTACGGTGGATCTGGCCGAAAAAGGCCATATCGGCGCACGACCGGCAAGATCCATCCGGTCATGCGCCGATACGACGACTCTGGCCACCTTCCGATGGTGGTGGCCGGCTGTCCGTATTTAATGAGTGGGTTGGGGGTGTTTTTATTAACTTTGAATATTTTATTACAAGATTGTTTAGTAAATAAATATACATAAGGGGTATTTTTGTTAATTTTCAAAATTCTACATCGTAATACCCACTCAATTTAACTTTTTTTCAAAATATTATTCTAGTTTTTTGGTTGATTTTTAGAAAGAATCTACTGTTTTTATAGTGACTTTGGTTGACCAGAATCGAGCGACTTGAGTTTTTAAATTTTCTAGAAATTACTTTTTCCGATTCAAGTGTTAGAAAGTGAGTTTTTCCCCCCCTAAATATGCAATATTTTACTTATATTATACACATATGAACATAACATATACCCCCATAAATATATACAAACAATATATATAAAAACATAAATCTAAAAACATTAAGGAGAAGAGAGAAAATAAAAGAAAAAAAGAAGAGAAAGAAAGAAGTGAATTAAATGGGACGGGTAAAATCATACAGAATTTTTATCAAAAGTCTTATCAAAACAATTAGAGAGATGAGTTATTTTTTAATTGGACTCTTAAAATAGGGTCATGTAAATAATTATTTCAAATTTTTGTTTGCTTATTTAATTCATGGTTGTCAAATCGCTTATCGTATCGTATATCAAAAATTTAATTTTTCGAATTGCATATCATATCGTATCGTAGGATATGTTTTTTTTTTTTTAAAAAAAAATTAAAATTAATATCATCCCCAACATTAATTAACGAATATTATGATATTACTAGCTTTAAATTATGATATTACATAATTAAAATTTATCACAAAATTAAGAATCTATATCATTTCCTCTCAGTTAGTCATATCATTTCCTCTCAGCTAGTCATATCATTTCCAAGATCAATGTCAATATCTATATCTCCACTTGTATTATTATTATCATACAAAATAGGCAACACATTTTCCTCTTCATTTTTTCCATGCAAAATAGGTAAATTTAGGTGGTTTTTAGTGAACCGGGTTGGGTGACCCAGATCCGACCCGAATTTTTTTTTGGGCCTTCAGCTCAAATTAATAAAGTCGTATCAATATTTTTAAAGATACAAACTGATACTTATCGTATAGTAGGGTACATATCAACGTATCGAAATGTTTAAAATACACTCCATGATATGTATCGTTGGCGACTCATATTGAATCGTATCGTAGGATATATATCACGTATTGTAGGATACTAATAACCATGATTTAATTATCTTAAAAGAGGAAAATACTTTGTCAAGATTGTCTTGAAAGATTCAATCATAATCTAATTTCATCAGATTGATATATTCTGATAGAGCAAGTCTACACTTATTGATTCTGCATACCGACTCTCCATCCTGACTGATGTGGAGTGCGACGTGAGGAGTCCCTAAAACCATAGATATAGTATTTTCCATTCTGATCGAAAAAAATTTGAATTAAATAAACTTCATTGTTTTCTCAAACACTCTATAGTTTAGCTCGCCCAAAAATTTAACCAATCCGTCCACAGCCGGCGTTTGACCTTTTTTCTCTTCTTTTTCTTACACCCATTTCACCATCAAGCTGGGAAAAATGTTTAACTTGATGCTTAATATTTTAATATTTGTGCATGAAATCTTCGAAGTTTTAATCTGTTCACAATGTTTCCAGCACATGTAGTAATGGTGATGATATTGACAAGGTTGATATTATCCAAGAAACTGTCGTAGAATAGAAAATGTTTTATTGGCTAGCCGTTTTATATCGCTTCATTAATTGGTTTTCAACCCAGAAATTTTTGCTATTATTAGTACTTTTGAGAGTAACGTGTAAACATTCTACTATACTATCTATTGAACACGGCCAAGTTATGCATGTTTTATAATATGAAATAAAAGTTAACTATATAATAAGATTATTATACTCCATAAATTAGATGCCAAGAACCACGAGACAAGATTTTTGGAGAAGGACCCTTTTTAAAAAGTTAGATTAAAAAATAACCAACTTCTAAATGATTTTGTAAGCAAGACTCTAAATGATTTTGTAAGCAAGACATCTCCTAAGATCATTTAACACTTCTACACCTATCTTTCACGTTTAATCATATTAATCCATTTCTTTCATGAAAATTGAAAAAAAAAAACTTTCGGTTTAAAATTTAATGAAATGTATGTTTTTTGGTTGTTTTTTAGAAAGAATCTAGTGTTTTTATAGTGAAAGATATATGAAATATTGAAAGTATGTTTAGACTTTGGCTTGCGTTGAAGACCTGATGATCAAACCCAAGAAATTTTGAATAAACTTGAAGTTGTTATAGTCCAGTCACTCGAGTCCAATAGCTGGAATAGGGTATAATGTTATTGATCTCTCTTAAATGGGACATTTTTTATATTTTATAGTACATACAATCATGGTTATTAGTATCCTACGATACCTGATACATATCATACGATATAATTTGATACATATCGCTAATGATACGTATCAGAGAGTATATCTTAAACATTTCGATACGTTGATATGTATCCTATAATATGATACGTATCTATTCGTATCCTTAAAAATATCAATACAAATCAATAGGACTTTATTAAATTGGGCCAAAGGCCCAAAACAATTTGGGTCAGAATCGGGTCACCCAACCCGGTTCACTAAAACTTGCTTAAATTTACCCATTTTGCATGGAGAAAGTGAAGAGGAACATGTGTTGCCCATTTTGCATGATAATAAATAATACAAATGGAGATATAGATATTGACATTGATCTTGGAAACGATATGAAAAGTTGAGAGAAAATTATATAGATTCTTAATTTTGTGATTAATTTTAATTATGTAATACCATAATTTAAAGCCAATAATACCACAAAATTCTTTAATTAATCTTGGTGATGATATTAATTTTTAGAAAATTTTGATTATTTTATTAATTTTTTTAAAAAATGCATATCCTACACTACGATACACGATACATAATTCAAAAAATTATGTTGTCGATACACGATACGATATGTGATTTGACAACCATACATACAATCGCTTATATAAACAATAGATTACATTTTGTCATTTAACTGATTTCGTAAGAGATTATATTTTAAATATAATTTGTTATGAAAACTATCTATTATGTTGAATATTAATTCACCCATACAAATATTAAAACGACCCACTCAAATGAGGTATGACCAGAATCGAGCGACTTCAGTTTTTAAATTTTCTAGAAATTAGTTTTTCCGATTCAAATGTTAGAAAGTGAGTTTTTCCCCCACTAAATATGTAACATTTTACATATATTAAACACGTATGAACATAACAAATACCTCTATAAATATATACAAACAATACAAAAACATAAATCTATAAACATTAAGGAGAAGAGAGAAAATAAAAGAAAAAAAGAAGAGAAAGAAAGAAGTGAATTAAATGAGAGGGGTAAAATCATACAGAATTTTTATCAAAAGTCTTATAAAAACAATTAGAGAGATGAGTTATTTTTTAATTGGACTCTTAAAATAGGGTCATATAAATAATTATTTCAAATTTTTGTTTGCTTATTTAATTCATGGTTGTCAAATTGTGTAGCGAAAATCTAATTTTTCGAATCGCATATCATATTGTATTGTAGAATACACCTTTTTCAAAAAAAAAAAATAATAATTTTTTTAAAAATTAATTTCATCCCCAAGATTAATTAACGAATTTTGTGATATTATTGGTTTTAAATTATAGTATTACATAATCAAAATTAATCACAAAATTAAGAATCTATATAATTTTCTCTCAACCATTCATATCATTTTCAAGACTAATGTCAATATTTATATCTCCACTTGTATTATTATTACCATACAAAACAAGCAACACATTTTCCTCTTCATTTTCTCCATACAAAATAGGTAAATTTGGGTGGGTTTTAGTGAACCAGGTTGGGTGACCTAATTCCGACTCGAAAAAAATTTTGGGCCTTCGACTCAAATTAATAAAGTCGTATCGATATTTTTAAAGATACAAGCCGATACGTATCGTATCGTAAGGTTTAGGATATACTATTTGATATGTATCATTGGCGACCTATATTAAATCGTACCATAGGATATGTATTGCGTATTGTAGGATACTAATAACCATGATTTAATTCTCTTAAAAGAGGAAAATACTTTGTCAAGATTGTCTTGTATGATTCAGTCATAATCTAATTTCATCAGATTGATATATTCTGATAGAGCAAGTCTACACTTATTGATTCTGCATACCAACTCTCCAACTGATGTGGAGTGAGACGTGAGGAGTCCCTAAAACCATAGATATAGTATTTTCCATTCTGATAACCAGTGTTTTACTTAAATTAAGCCATATCGAAGCTAAGTGCACAATAACATGAAAAAAATTAAGAAATGCAAATCTACTCAATCCCAAGGTAAATTTCTACTCTCTTGTCATGGTTGATGCAAATAAAATTAAAAATTCTATATCTTAATGAAAACCAAGCTTTTTTATTCATTAAAGTTAAGAAACTAAAGACCACAATTCAGCTTTTCAACTAGTAATTTGTGCATAAATCTGTTTACACTTCAGATTCAAAGAGATAATAAGCGACAACTGGGCTCCTCACTTGATGCACCCCATCATCCCAAACTAAAGACCCAGAGCTCCTATTCAACGATTTCGACACCTCTGCTGTAACTGTGACAACAAAGGATTTGGTCTCCCCAACATACTTGAAAGACAGAACACTTGGTTGAACTTGGATCCCCAATCCAGGCTGAGTCACAACAGCTGCCTTGTAAGTGGACACTGGTGATCCAACATTTGTAACATTTCTATGGAAGACGCGAGTAATGGATTGCGTAGAATTGGTTGATACAGCAAAGGAAGGGTAGTTCAAGTCCCATACAGCTCCCGTGTTTGCCGCAGAACAACTGTTATTGTCACCAGTCAAAATCCTTAGAAGTGTAGCATTGTAGCCTTGTCCACACAAGAATTTAACATAATCAAGCACCCCAGCATCATATATCAATCCAGGGTCAGCTGCTTTCACTGGATTCAGATGACCTGATCCGTATCCAAACTCTGCGTCGCTGTTATATTCAACATTCATGGGAGAAGCTGCAATGATCATTGAGAGTTGCAGGGGTTGATTAGATCATTGATTCATGCTTAAAGTTTCGTTCGAATACGCCTGGATGACAAATTAAGAGTTACCTGTTGTCATTAGAGCAGACTTAATAGCAGCAGGAGACCATGTAGGGTGGAAAGACTTAACATAGGCTGCTATGCTGCTCGCGTGTGGGCAAGACATGGATGTGCCAGAAATTATATTGTAAGGAGATACTCTATTATCTTCTGGAGATTCTGACACTTTTGTAGCTAGTGACCATGAAGCTAAAATGTCCACTCCAGGAGCAGTCAGGTCCGGCTACACAGACCAATTAGTCGAAATTAATAAAACTGATGGAGCCAGAAAATAAAATGGAGAAAAATAAGCAATTTATACCTTGAGAATATCTGTTGTGATAGGGTTAGGTCCCCTTGATGAAAATGAAACTACTGAAGGGGCCATTTCATCCTTTACCGCAATACTCTTGAATATAGCAGCTGTTGGTTCACTGTTGATATTTTACAAGAATCACAGTCAGTATTACTAATTTAACCATTATTTATGTTTTCAAAATTAGATTGTAACAAAAAATTTCAAGGAAGTTTATACCTAGTTGAGTTCAAGTATGTTGCAACCTTACTTCCATCCTTCAGGTTCAAGTAAGAAGTAGGTAAAGGAAAAAGAAAGGCCACATCTTGATAAATTTCATCGCTCATTATACAACCAGCTGCTCCTGCAAGTGCTGGCCCCTCCCCTGTGTCCAACCCATCACAAAGAACAATTTTTCCTCGTACCAAGGTCTCATTCAAAGAGCCTTCCTCGCAATACCTGAATTTCATAATAAATTTTAAGCAATTATAATGTTTAGAGCCTAACATCATGGATATAGTACACCACAACATTTTCATTTTCATATTACCTGGATTCGGATCCATCCGCACCAGCTGTTCTGTTGGGTGCATCTCCTCCGTAGATGAGAGGGAGCATCTGTCCCTTAAGATCTACTGTATTTATAGAGTTTCCCTACAAGTAGAGGAAAAAAAAAGTTGGGTATTAATGGTAAATCACAAGAGGCTTAATTGGAAAACGTTTACTTGAGAAATAAGCAATTGCACTTACGTCATAAACCTGACCATTGCCCAACTTCACTGGAGTCAAAAACTTCCTGTCAATGGTGCTAGCAGCCACAGAGAGTAACCAAGGTGCAACGCTGCAGATTGATGCATAACCAGGACCAGAATTACCAGCAGAATTAGATGTTAGTATACCATTCTTCATTGCATGGAAAGCTCCAATAGCAATGGGATCATCAAAATAATCATCAGCAAATTCACCCCCAACTGAAATAGAGATTATATCAACACCATCAGCAATTGCATCATCAAATGCCGCGAGAATATCAGCATCAGGGCAACCATCAGCCCAACAAATCTTGTACACAGCAATGCGTGCTGCGGGCACCCCGCCACGTGCTGTCCCATTCCCAAGGCCAAACAGACTTGCATTGCTAACTAATCCACCTGCTGCTGTTGATGAAGTATGAGTCCCATGTCCTTTTGAATCCCTTGGTGACTTAAAATCTATTGGACTGAAGCTTCCATCTGCTCTGTAGTATTTAGCTCCAATAATTTTGCTGGAATTGCAACGTATGTTAGAATTATTTCTAGTCTAAGTATTTTGTATGTGTAATTTTTCTCATGTTTAGATTATATTTACTTGTTACAAGTGAAATTTGATGACGATTGGCAAGTGCCCTTCCATTTTGCGGGAGGTGGACCAAATTTTTCATCGTTGAAACTCTTAGACTCAGGCCAAATTCCTGTGTCAAGCATTCCTACGATGATATTGCTTTCAGTAGGTGCTCTTTGCACACTCTGAGAAAATCCCATGAAGTCCCATGACCTTGTTGTGTGTAGTTGTTTTCTTCCATTGGGGAACACTGAGACCACCCCTTCCATGCCTGAAAATCAAAAAATTGTAACATCAAATAGATGAATATATAATAATTGGATCAATTTCTTATCTCCATTACCTTAAATATGAAATACTCAAAAAAGCAAGTAAAGGAACAACCTTTCAGCCTCTGGACTTCTTCTTGGGTCAACTTGGCAACAAACCCATTGAAGCTCCTGTGGTAGCTGTGGAGTAGATGTTCTTCTGCACCACTGTTTAATGCAAGTAATTAGTAAAGTTCACAAGGGTAAATCTTAAATGAAACATATTAATAAACATCTTATTAAGATGTTAGATGACTTCTTATTTTTGGTTATATTTTATGATTAGAATTTGATTTAGAAAACCTTCCAATAACTTGTTGCAGCATGCTCGTATGGACGGAAGTCGCAGAGAATTCACCCTTGGGACGATCACCCATATAAACAATATAGTCCTGTATCCAAAACAAAGAATGTGTCAATCCAATTGTCGGCCTAAAATTTCAGCCCAACTAATCTGTGACCAGTTCTGGCCCATTCATTGGGCCGAGATAGCCACATTCTGTCATTAGAATATCGGCCTAAGGCCTAGTAAATTTGGCAGAGAAGAGAAAGGAAAAAGCAATAAACTTGTGTTTGGTTGAGGATTTCTTAGAGAATATCCGAAACAAACCTTTCGATCATCCAATGAGCCATTAATGCAGCTGATAAGCAAGGTGAGACTAAGCAGGGCAAGCCATGAAAGAGCCATTTGGCTTGCCATTATAAGCTTGTCTTAAGAGCAAGAGGTGTATATTTGATAGTTCCATGCAAAGGAAAAAGATGGCATTATATACTAAAAGTTGAAATATTTAAAAATAAACTAAAAATTCATTCCATTGTTTTCTCAAACAACGTATAGTGAAGCTCGCCACAAATTAACCAATCCGTCCACAGCCGGCGTTTGACCTTTTTTCTCTTCTTTTTCTTACACCCATTTCACCATCAAGCTGGGAAAAATGTTTAACTTGATGCTTAATATTTTAATATTTGTGCATGAAATCTTCGAAGTTTTAATCTGTTCACAATGTTTCCAGCACATGTAGTAATGGTGATGATATTGACAAGGTTGATATTATCCAAGAAACTGTCGTAGAATAGAAAATGTTTAATTGGCTAGCCGTTTTATATCGCTTCATTAATTGGTTTTCAACCCAGAAATTTTTGCTATTATTAGTACTTTTGAGAGTAACGTATAAACATTCTACTATACTATCTATTGAACACGGCCAAGTTATGCATGTTTTAGAATATGAAATAAAAGTTAACTATATAATAAGATTATTATACTCCATAAATTAGATGCCAAGAACCACGAGACAAGATTTTTGGAGAATGACCCTTTTAAAAAAGTTAGATTAAAAAATAACCAACTTCTAAATGATTTTGTAAGCAAGATATCTCCTAAGATCATTTAACACTTCTGCACCTATCTTTAGCGTTTAATCATATGAATCCATTTCTTTCATGAAAATTGAAAAAAAACTTTTGGTTTAAAATTTAATGAAATGTAGAATATATAGTTTTTTGGTTGATTTTTAGAAAGAATCTAGTGTTTTTATAGTGATTTTGGTTTACCAGAATCGAGCGACTTGAGTTTTTAATTTTCTAGAAATTAGTTTTTCCAATTCCAAGTGTTAGAAAGTGAGTTTTTCCCTCCCTAAACATGTAATATTTTACTTATATTATACACATATGAACATAACATATACCCCTATAAATATATACAAACAATACAAAAACATAAATCTAAAAACATTAAGGAGAAGAGAGAAAATAAAAGAAAAAAAGGAGAGAGAAAGAAGTGAATTAAATGGGACGGGTAAAATCATAGAGAATTTTTATCAAAAGTCTTATAAAAACAATTAGAAAGTGAGTTTTAATTGGACTCTTAAAATAGGGTCATATAAATAATTATTGCAAATTTTTGTTTGCTTATTTAATTCATGGTTGTCAAATCGCGTATCATATCGTGTATCGAAAATTTAATTTTTTGAATCACATATCATATCGTATTGTAGGATACACTTTTTAAAAATAATAATAATAATTTTTTTAAAATTAATATCATCCCCAAGATTAATTAACGAATATTGTGATATTATTGGCTTTAAATTATGATATTACATAATCAAAATTAATCACAAAATTAAGAATCTATATCAGTTCCTCTCAGCCATTCATATCATTTCCAAGATCAATGTCAATATCTATATCTCTACTTGTATTATTATTATCATACAAAATAGGCAATACATCTTCCTCTTCATTTTCTCCATGCAAAATGGGTAAATTTGCATGGGTTTTAGTGAACCGGGTTGGGTGACCTAGATCCGACCTGAATTTTTTTTGGGGCCTTCGGCTCAAATTAATAAAGTTGTATTGATATTTTTAAAGATACAAACTGATACTTCTCGTATCACAGGATACATATTAACGTATCGAAAGGTTTAGGATACACTCTCTGATATGTATCGTTGGTGACCCATATTAAATCGTACCATAGGATATGTATCGTGTATCGTAGGATACTTATAATCATGATTTAATTCTCTTAAAAGAGGAAAATACTTTGTCAAGATTGTCTTGTAAGATTCAATCATAATCTAATTTCATCAGATTTATATACCAACTCTCCATCCTGACTGATGTGTAGTGTGATGACAAGAACTTGAAAATACACATTTAGTTAGTGGTTTATGGGGATTATTTTTGGGAAATTAGACTTAATTTGGTAAAGTTGCTTAACATTTTCATAATTGTCTTTTACGGGATCACGAGTGTTTTTGGTGTTTTTTAGGCCACTAGTGCTTAAATGTTATGCTCGGATGAAGAATCATGTCGGCAACGGAATGAGTGACGAGTGGAAACAAACGGATCAAGAATCGGAGTTGAATTGAAGAAGTTATGGAAGTTTGAAGTAAAGAGAAGACTCTAGATTACGCTCTAGCTTGAGCATACCTCAGTCTTTTGAGAATATCTTGAGTTGTAGAACTCATATTAAGACTATTCTTTTACTGTTGGAAAGATAATTCAAAGAGCTACATTTTATATGTTTATCACTTCTCCAAATTTCATCGTTATAGAGCTAAAAAATCATTATCTCTGAAGAATAGTGGAATGATGCGGGAAGAAGAAGAGTATTACTGTGCCGCAGCACAGTGCCGTGGCACACTTTGTCCAATAGCTACCATGCTGCAGCACAGTGCTGGGGCACAGTCACGGTAGTTAAGAAATTGTCATCCGTTTTTATGTAGGAAAATAGGGTTAAAAGTCCTAAACCAAATAAAATTAAGAAAAATAAAACCTAACCCTTGTGGGATAAAAATAGAAGTCTTTTAGCATTATTTTGGGAGATTCTTTGGGGGAGAATAAGAGGAGGAAAACCTGTATAGAAGAAAAATAACAGAAGTTATGGAGCTTTGATTCACAATATAGAGAAGTTTTTCTCGTTCCTTTCTGATAAACTCATTATAATTGTTTTAATAAAGATGATTGTTTCTTTCATGTTTATTATGAACTAAATTCATTCGCTAGGGCTAAGATGTAGCTCAATCTCTTGATTATGTATTGATTTATGCTTACTAATTTTTATTAAGAATTTTTCCTAAAGTTTTACTATTATACCTAATGCTTTTGATTCTTAAGGGCCAAAGAATTGAATGAACTAATGGACTAGGTTGAGATCGAGAGATGATACTTAGTTGGTCTATGATAGTGAAATCATAAGTTGAGCGAATGCTAGAGATAGGTTATTGTGACTTGTGAGGTTTTGGTAAACTCTATAGAGCATAATGATCTTCAATTACTTAAATGTGATTAAAGATAATTCGGGTTAGTAATTAGGAGTTAATTCGATAATTGTTCGAAAGAAATTTATTGGAAATTTAGGGAGTTTGACCTGAAGGAGAGCTTAATAAAATTAACATAAGTGATCGATACATATGAGTAAGAGTTGGTGTGAAGTCTATGCCCTAGATCTAGTCATCTTGTTTTAATCCAAAGGTTTATTTTAATTGTTCTCTGTTCAGTTCTCTTTTTAAATTCAATTGTTAATTTAGTTTAAATTTTCTTTGATACAATTTGGATTGATCAAATAATAATAGGATAGTTTATTGGTAATTGATAATAGTAATTTCCTTGGGTTCAATATCCATAATTTTACACTTTATTACTTACACGATTTCGTACACTTACGAAAATCTACAACATGCGACGTGGGGAGACCCCAAAACCATAAATATAGTATATTTTCCACTCTGACAACCAATGTTTTACTTAAATAAAGCCACATCGAAGCTAAGTGCACCATTACATAACAAAATTAAGAAATGCAAATCTACTCAATCCCAAGATAAATTTCTACTCTCTTGCCATGGTTGATGCAAATAAAATTAAAAATTCTATATCTTAATGAAAACCAAGCTTTTTTATTCATTCAAGTCAAGAAACTAAAGACCACAATTCAGCTTTTCAACTAGTAATTTGTGCATAAATCTGTTTACACTTCAGATTCAAAGAGATAATAAGCGACAACTGGGCTCCTCACTTGATGCACCCCATCATCCCAAACTAAAGATCCAGAGCTCCTATTCAACGATTTCGACACCTCTGCTGTAACTGTGACAACAAAGGATTTGGTCTCCCCAACATACTTGAAAGACAGAACACTTGGTTGAACTTGGATCCCCAATCCAGGCTGAGTCACAACAGCTGCCTTGTAAGTGGACACTGGTGATCCAACATTTGTAACATTTCTATGGAAGACGCGAGTAATGGATTGCGTAGAATTGGTTGATACAGCAAAGGAAGGGTAGTTCAAGTCCCATACAGCTCCCGTGTTTGCCGCAGAACAACTGTTATTGTCACCAGTCAAAATCCTTAGAAGTGTAGTATTGTAGCCTTGTCCACACAAGAATTTAACATAATCAAGCACCCCAGCATCATATATCAATCCAGGGTCAGCTGCTTTCACTGGATTCAGATGACCTGATCCGTATCCAAACTCTGCGTCGCTGTTATATTCAACATTCATGGGAGAAGCTGCAATGATCATTGTGAGTTGCAGGAGTTGATTAGATCATTGATTCATGCTTAAAGTTTAGTTCGAATACGCCTGGATGACAAATTAAGAGTTACCTGTTGTCATTAGAGCAGACTTAATAGCAGCAGGAGACCATGTAGGGTGGAAAGACTTAACATAGGCTGCTATGCTGCTCGCGTGTGGGCAAGACATGGATGTGCCAGAAATTATATTGTAAGGAGATACTCTATTATCTTCTGGAGATTCTGACAATTTTGTAGCTAGTGACCATGAAGCTAAAATGTCCACTCCAGGAGCAGTCAGGTCCGGCTACACAGACCAATTAGTCGAAATTAATAAAACTGATGGAGCCAGAAAATAAAATGGAGAAAAATAAGCAATTTATACCTTGAGAATATCTGTTGTGATAGGGTTAGGTCCCCTTGATGAAAATGAAACTACTGAAGGGGCCATTTCATCCTTTACCGCAATACTCTTGAATATAGCAGCTGTTGGTTCACTGTTGATATTTTACAAGAATGACAGTCAGTATTACTAATTTAGCCATTATTTATGTTTTCAAAATTAGATTGTAACAAAGAATTTCAAGGAAGTTTATACCTAGTTGAGTTCAAGTATGTTGCAACCTTACTTCCATCCTTCAGGTTCAAGTAAGAAGTAGGTATAGGAAAAAGAAAGGCCACATCTTGATAAATTTCATCGCTCATTATACAACCAGCTGCTCCTGCAAGTGCTGGCCCCTCCCCTGTGTCCAACCCATCACAAAGAACAATTTTTCCTCGTACCAAGGTCTCATTCAAAGAGCCTTCCTCGCAATACCTGAATTTCATAATAAATTTTAAGCAATTATAATGTTTAGAGCTTAACATCATGGATATAGTACACCACAACATTTTCATTTTCACATTACCTGGATTCGGATCCATCCGCACCAGCTGTTTTGTTGGGTGCATCTCCTCCGTAGATGAGAGGGAGCATCTGTCCCTTAAGGTCTACTGTATTTATAGAGATTCCCTACAAGTAGAGGAAAAAATAAGTTGGGTATTGATGGTAAATCACAAGAGGCTTAATTAGATTAGTGTATTGATGGTAAATACACTAATACAATTTTTTTTGCAAACTTTGGAACTGTAAATCATTTTTGGGGTCAGAACTCAGTTAAATTAAAAAAATATATTAATTTCTCAAATGTTCTCCTTGCAACAGATAATTGCTAGTGTTGGGCTGGATAAAAAGCTATACACTTATGACTCAGGGTCTAGAAGACCATCGTCTTGCATTACTTATGAGGCACCTTTCTCTTCATTGGCCTTTAGAGATGATGGTTTGGTACTGGCAGCTGGAACTAGTAATGGTCGAGTGGTGTTCTATGATATTCGTAGCAAACCACAGCCTTTTACCGTTCTTCGCGCTTATGGTGGTTCAGAGGTAGGCTTCTTTCCTATATATGTNCTGTGTCAAGCATTCCTACGATGATATCGCTTTCAGTAGGTGCTCTTTGCACACTCTGAGAAAATCCCATGAAGTCCCATGACCTTGTTGTGTGTAGTTGTTTTCTTCCATTGGGGAACACTGAGACCACCCCTTCCATGCCTGAAAATCAAAAAATTGTAACATCAAATAGATGAATATATAATAATTGGATCAATTTCTTATCTCCATTACCTTAAATATGAAATACTCAAAAAAGCAAGTAAAGGAACAACCTTTCAGCCTCTGGACTTCTTCTTGGGTCAACTTGGCAACAAACCCATTGAAGCTCCTGTGATAGCTGTAGAGTAGATGTTCTTCTGCACCACTGTTTAATGCAAGTAATTAGTAAAGTTCACAAGGGTAAATCTTAAATGAAACATATTAATAAACATCTTATTAAGATGTTAGATGACTTCTTATTTTTGGTTATATTTTATGATTAGAATTTGATTCAGAAAACCTTCCAATAACTTGTTGCAGTATGCTGGTATGGACGGAAGACGCAGAGAATTCGCCCTTGGGACGATCACCCATATAAACGATATAGTCCTGTATCCAAAACAAAGTATGTGTCAATCCAATTGTCGGCCTAAAATTTCAGCCCAACTAATCTGTGACCAGTTCTGGCCCATTCATTGGGCCGAGAAAGCCACATTCTGTCATTAGAATATCGGCCTAAGGCCTAGTAAATTTGGCAGAGAAGAGAAAGAAAAAAGCAATAAACTTGTGTTCGGTTGAGGATTTCTTAGAGAATATCCGAAACAAACCTTTCGATCATCCAATGAGCCATTAATGCAGCTGATAAGCAAGGTGAGACTAAGCAGGGCAAGCCATGAAAGAGCCATTTGGCTGGCCATTATAAGCTTCTCTTAAGAGCAAGAGGTGTATATTTGATAGTTTCAAGCAAAGGCAGAAGATGGCATTATATACTAAAAGTTTAAATATTTAAAAATAAACTAAAAATTCATTCCATTGTTTTCTCAAACAACGTATAGTGAAGCTCGCCTGAAATTTACCAATCCGTCCACAGCAGGCGTTTGGATTTTTTTATTCACCATTTTATCAAGCTGGGAAAAAAAAAAGGGAAAGTAATTTGTTTCACAAAGTTTCTCAGCAATTGCAGTAATGGTGATGATATTGAGAAGGATTTTTTAAGAATATTTTTGATGTTTTCCAAGATACTTTCATACAATTGAAAACGTTTATTTGGCTAGCTGTTCTATGTTTGCTTAATTGGTTTTGTTGATGTTATCCAAGACATTGTCATACAATTGAAACTGTTTATCTTTTATGTTCTATAGTTTTCGACAGTGCCTTCGTTCACGTAAGACATTTTCTTTTCGTCCTTGATGTTGCCAATTTGTTTTTTTTTTTTTTTTTTTATGACCGAAAGTGCCCAAACCAATTTATGCGCATCTCAACTGATCCTCCAGGGCTTTGGAATTATCGGTTAGATAAAAATTTCAATGGCTACCTTCATTAGTACCCGAGGAGAGACTCGAACTCAGACCCTATTGAATAATACACCCAAAAGTCCTTATCGAACTTCTTAATTACCTAGAGGTAGTTCAATTTGTTATTCTCGTTAAAGTACTCTCTAACAAAGCATGAGACAAAACTTTTGGTTGAATATTTGTTTCTCTTAAAGAGAAAATTTATAAATACTTGTCAAGATTTTTTTTTTGTAAGATTTATTACGTAAATCAGACGCACACATTTCATATGATTGTGAATATAAAAAGTATGAATTAATGGAACCTGAAGACGAGTAGAAATATAATTTTGTTATATGTCTGTTGGAATTAATTATTTTTTGATGTTGACACAAGATACACAATGATGGGGCTCCTCACTTGATGAACACCATCATCCCAGACTAAAGAAGCAGACACTATGGACTGGACCATTGCTCCTTCAATTGTGAGTGTAAAGGCTTGCCTTTCTCCCAGAAATGTGAAATTTAGAGTGTCAGGATTTGCTTGGATTTTAAGTCTTTCCGGGGCTGTCACAGAAGCTTTATAAGTAGACGACGGCGATCCCACATTTGTTACAACCCTGTTAAAGACATGACTAATATTCCCTGATCCTGATGTGTTGGCAGAAATGGCAAAGGAAGGGTAGTTAAGATCCCAAACTGTTCCATTAATGGTTTCTGAACAGCTACTGTTGTCACCAGTAACAAGTTGAAGAATTGAGTTGTTATATCCTTGGCCACATAAAAACTTTATGTAATCAATGGCCTCTGCATCATATACCAACCCAGGATTTAGAGCTTTAATGGGATTTATTTGGCCTGCGCCGTAAGCAAATTCAGCTTCCGGGTTTGATTTTGAACTCATAGGAGTAGCTGCGAAGAGGAAATAAGTGGCAGAGAGTTTAGCCAAATTGAAAGTGATTGTGCAGTTAACTCTGGAGATCAAGAGTTATAGCCAATAATAATACTACCAGTGGTCATAAGAGTGGATCTGATGGCACCTGGAGACCATGTTGGGTGAAAGGATTTGACGTAGGCAGCTGCAGCAGTAGCATGTGGGCAAGCCATTGATGTTCCTGAGAATATATTGTATGGAACGAACCTATTATCCCCTTTAGTTTCTGAAACAGGGTTAACAAGAGACCATGCAGCTAGAATGTCAACTCCTGGAGCAGATAAATCTGGCTGCAATGGCAGTAAAATTTTTCAAATCAATATATTAATAATCCTCTACGAGATTGAGTAATACGACTAATGTATAGCTATACATATTTAACAAGTTACCTTAAGAATATCAGAAGTTACAGGATTTGGACCCCTTGAGGAAAATGAGACTATGTAAGGAGCCGATGTGTCAGTAGCCTCATGGCTCTTAAACAAAGTAGCAGTCGCAGTGCTGTGACAGAATAGTTATTGATAAAACTACTTTGTCGTGATCCAGTGGTTACTAATTGTAGGACAAATTTTAAAATTTCAAAGTGGAAAAAGTCCAAAAGATTAGATTGAGACCTGGTTGAGCGTAGGTAGAGCATAACTTTGTTACCATCGGCCGTGTTAATGTAAGATGTGGGCAAGGGAAAATGGTATGCAGCATCTCTGTTGCTTTGGCCACGCATCAGAGCACCAGCTGCTCCGGCGTAAAATGGTCCTTCTCCTGTATCCAGAATATCACAAACAACGACTTTTCCCTTCACTAAATTTTGGTCCAACGAGTCCTCCAAGCAAAAACTGCATTTTAGCAACAACTCTCGTTATAGATTTTCCATTATCAAACGACAGATTGAAACCTATTTTTGTCTTCATGGATTCTAATTGACAATTTTTTTTCCACTAAAAGAGAAGAAGAAAATCAACCTTGACGAAGCATTTGTGTAGCCTGCAGAAATATTTGGCGCATCTCCACCGTAAATAAGAGGAAGCATACCTTCAAGAGTAGCTGTATTTATTGATATTCCCTACAAACAACAGAGCAAATCTTTTAAAACCTCAAAAAAACAACTTTGTTGTTGCAACTTAACATGGCATGAAAGTTAATTACCTGGTAAGTTTGGTTGTTTCCCAGTTGCACCGTGGTCAAAAACTTCCTGTCAATGGTGCTAGCAGCCACAGAAAGAAACCATGGAGCAACATTGGTGATACTTCCAAGGGAAGGACCATCGTTACCAGCAGCAACAGAGGTTAATATCCCCTTCGTCATGGCATGAAAAGCTCCAATGGCAATTGCATTATCGAAATATTCTTGAGGATTTGACCCTCCAATTGAAATAGATAAAATGTCTACTCCATCAGCAATGGCATCATCAAATGCAGCAAGCATGTCAGCATCGTAGCAACCGTCTGCCCAGCATACTTTGTACACGGCAATACGTGCTGATGGGACACCGCCCCTAGCCGTTCCCTGGGCAAGCCCATATAGGCTTGCCGAGCTAACTAAGTTACCGGCTGCTGTTGATGAAGTGTGCGAGCCATGGCCATTCTCATCTCTTGGAGAAATTATATCACCCGCAGGAAATTCTCCATCACTTCGGTAGTATCTTGCTCCTATGATTTTGCTGCATAACCACATTGTTACGACACCGTATTCGTATTGAAGAATATGGGGATTTAGGTGGATTTTGGAAACTAGTCTGAAATTAGTAGGGTTGGATATAATTTGGGCATGGGGCCCATTGTGAAAACTAGAAACTTAAGGGGGCTAGATAAATTTTATGTAAATAAAATTTACACTATTGATTCCATCTTCCAATTAGAATGCTATCATCGACTATTGGATTTATTTTGATGGTATGCACATTTTAGTTAAATAACAAAACTCAATAGTTGATATTGATTTATTAATATCTAGGGTTAATTTCATTCGGTATTTTAAGAGATAGTTAAGTTTAACATTTCAAATACTTTCCAAAATTATAAAATATTATCTGAAATTATCAACAGCCTTCTGAAAATATAAAAAATAAACCCCTAGAAAATGTAAAAACCCCCACACAAATTAATATTAAAAAACTTTAGGTTTTCAATACTTTTTAAAAAGACATTTATATTTTAAATATCTCTAAGGAACTAATGAAATTAACTCTAATTATTATGTAGTACTTTGTGAAATATTAATGAACAGTGATGATTTACTTGTTGCAAGTGAAATTGGAGGAGGCTTGGCAACTGCCCTCCCATTTGGTAGGTGGTGGACCGAATCCTTGATCATCAAAGCTGGCAGACTCCGGCCAAATTCCAGTGTCAAGCATTCCAATTACGATATCACCTTCAATTGTTGCTCTTTCAACTTGTTGAGAAAAACCTATAAAATCCCATGACCTTGTTGTATGGAGCTTTCTCTTTCGGTTTGGAAATACTGATACTACGCCCCGCAATCCTATTTATAAATATCAAAGTTACAATAATTTTTACTACTCCATATTGATCTTCAGACGTATTGATATGGTTACATTAATTGGAAAGAAAGAAAATGAAATTATAATTAACGTCCACTCACTGGCCATTCTTTGAGCTTCCTCCTCAGTCAGCTTCACCACAAATCCCTGGAAACTTCTCTTGAAGCTACGAAGTAGAGATTCCTGACCAATGTTGCTGAAATCATTCAATTCAGATTTAAATATCATTAACTTGTCAAGTTGAATATCTAGGAGATAGGCTTATATTGTTATTATATTTTTAACTCTTATTAGGGTTGATGCAGTCATTGATTAAATAAGTTAATCTTTACCTGCATGCACTTTCGTTGAACATATGAGATGAATTCAAACTAAAATTTCGGTCAAGCTACTCATCTCAATATATAATTTTAGCTGGGTAAGCTGTTGAAATGTGAAGCCACTTCACAAAGGACCTGGGCATGGTAATTACAAAAGATTTGGATGGTGGAAATAAGTAATAATGGTAATTAATTTGAGTAGAAAAAAAATTAGTGGGCGAGTAATTTAGGAGCGGCAAGAGACTATGACCAAAGTATGTGAAGACATTTAATGGTTATAATTTTTAACGTTAGGAAGGTGAAAAATAGAAAATTTACTATCGATTTGGAGGCTGTGGTTTCCTGTAAGTACTATGGCTCATTTCTCCAAATCTATGACCAACATCACACCACCCAAACTCATGCACTAGCCTTTCCTTTCTCCTATATTTTCGCAAATTGTCTTTCCTCACTTATGAGAGAAAGTGTATGTTGTTCTCTCTTAATCTTATAGAGAGGTGGTTGTAATTTTTTTTATGGACTTAATAAAATCTTTCTTGTCTTGCCCTGTGGATGTTTCCCTCTTAATCAATTGAAGGTTTTACCACGTAAATCTTGTGTCGATTATTTTATTGTGATTATTTTCACTCTCTATTCTTTTATTCAAATTTACGCTGCTAGTTGAGTCCATCAACTTCCCAACATAAACAACGTATGTAGCATAGCATATATATATATATATCTATATATATATATATATATATATACACACACACACACATTTTGATTATAAATTTATAATGACATGTATACAGTTGATTGATGCGATTAATTTTAGAGAAAAATATGTAAAATACAGCAATGAAATAGGTATATAATTAACCTGCCGAGAACTTGTCGTAGCATGCTTATGTGAAGAGCCGCTGTGGAGATAATTTGGCCCTCTGGCCGGTTTCCCATATACACAATATAAGCCTGCACCATATAATCCATATTACAAAATGTACAGAATCTACTTTGCAATAAACAGTGAGATTCGCCATACACACACACACGCATACATATTTAGCAGAAATTTCTCAAAATGTAAATATAAAAGTAGGAACTCAATTAGCGCAGTTGATAATTTTAATTTACAAAGAAAAAACTAACTAGTCTGTAACATACGGCACAGAATGAAAATAGAAGGTTAAGAGAAGAAATGTTTACCTGTCGATTGTCTTGAGAAACAGTGTGTTTGATAAGTAAAGTAAAGGTGAGACTGTACAGGATGAGAAGCCACGGGAAAAAAGAGATTTTGGCTGTCATTTGAACCATTCAGACGAAAGCTTGTTGGCTAGAACAGTTATGACGAAAGGCTTTTATAGAAGAGATGAATAACAAATCACTCCTCAAGAAAGTTTCGAATTCTATAGTTTTTATTTAGTTCTTTGTATATATAAATATGATAAATATTTCTTAATCAGAGCTTATATAAAAATAATTTTGTACCTTTATATACAAATTTTGAAATTGTCCGTTTATCCTTTGCTGCAAGTAAATCACCCCGGACGGCTTCATACATATTTTTAAATAAGAGTAAACAACTTTTTCCCACTCGCACCCAAGGTTTGCCTTAATCACATTTTCCACTAAAAAAGTTTCAAAATACCATTTTTCCACCCAAAGTTTATATTCGGTTAATACCTAAAATAAACTTCACTTTCTCAGTTAACATTCGACGAGTTACTAAGAGTTAGGGTGAAAAGGGTTTTTTAGAGTGGAGGTCGATGGATCAAATAGTGGTTACTAATTGAATATTCGTTGCTGTAATCAGTTGAAAATCAGCTAAGAATAAGAAACTCTAACTTTGCAGTGACTATAAATCGGTGAGAAATTAGGGGTTAGAGTGAGAGGGTTTTTGTAGAGAGGAGATTATAGGTTCAAATCATGATGACGAAGAGAATTTTTACCACCAAAATCAGCTTTAGGTAATAACCAAATATTAACTTTGGATGAAAAAGTGGTATTTCAAAATTTTTTTTGGTGGGAAAGTGTCATTAAGGCAAACCTTGGGTGGAAAAAAGTTGTTTACTCTTTTAAACAATTAAATTTTAGTCCTTATTTCACTTCCCACAAGTTTATTATTAAAATTCTACACATAAATACATGACAAAATTTCATGCATATATTAAGGAGAAGTCAAATGAAGACTTAATCAAGGTGAGAAAATTAATTGGTCCCATTAATTAATTAATTAGCAGGCGTTCAACTTTGATAATTTATAAATATTTTTATAATAAAGATTATTTGTCATATACAATTGGCATAAGTAATAAGATTTATTTCCAAGTCTAGATTCAGAAATCTGCACTAGTCTTCTTCCCATAATTCTATGTACTAAAAGCCAAAATTTTATATTTCTTCACCATTTCAACTAACGTTATTGTGGTTACAATTTCTTCACTATTTCTTTTGTATTTTACAGTAGATTTATATATCAGTAATTTATTGTTAAAAGTTACATAATCGCATATGTATAATTATATATTCAGTTGCCCACAAAATAAAAATCTTATTATATATGTTCATTAATCATAGTAGAATTTTGATACAAATAAAAATCTTATGGTTATTCAAATTAATTGGTCAATTTATTCATCACATGATCCTCATTCATTATCTTTTCATATACTGAGATCTTTCTATTATTATTCTTAATTCAATCGCAATAACAACTTAATGATTAAGATTACAACATCACAACAATAATTCCAATATTAAACGAATTGATTACCCTTCACTGGCTCTTGCTCGTAACTTAAATATAGAAATTTATTTTCAGGCTTGAACATCTTAGATCTAAGTTTTAAAATAAAAAAATAAAAAAAATAAAAAAAAAATTGTTAAAAAACAAAATTTTATGGTAATTGAATATTAATTATTAAAGATTGATTCGCAATCGTCTATTATCGATAGTGATTATTGACTAAATTATAAATAATTTATTCGTCGGTAGTATTGTTGTGCTTTATATTTACTTTGAGAATTAAATTAGTCACCGCATATTCAAAATAGACAATGTAAAATAAATAAATTAACAAGAATTTTAAATTCACTAAATCAATCAATGTGAATAGAATTTAATTATAATCAACAACATCTTAAAAGATCAACGCATATATTATAGAATACTGGATTAATAGTAAAGGGTTATAAATAAATCTGTTTGTGCCATGATTCTTGATTATTTAATTCCTTAGAAGAGAAGTGACAAATTTTTCAAAAGCGACAGAAAGATTAAGTCTTCCTTTCCAATAACGCACACTAAATGATGACTTTTAAAATGAGTTCCAGTTATCGGATGTATTTAGAAATGAGACTTATCCAATTTAATAATAGTTTATTGGACCCTTCCATTAAAGGCCCGATAAACTCTAAAGTTCATACTTTGTTGTCGGTCAAAATTAATCAAAACTTTAATATGATTACGTTAAGCCCATTAGTATATTAGTAGACTATTCATTTACCCGGTTTTAATTAAACAACATATAATTAATGTTAACCCATAATTAGCAAATTTTTCTAACAGACAATACATACTATATGATAGAATTGAATCATGCAATTGAAAATTGATGAAAGAAAATATGAGTTACAAAAAATCGTTTACGTTAAGATATATGAACTCATGGATATTTATGACAGTTTAATCAAATATAGGAATGTGATCTGTAATTAATAAATAATAATTCAATAAATCTTATAATAAATAATATCATTTCAAATATAAGATAAACACATTTACCATGTTATTTCTTTGCCAGGAAAATATCTTTGCACTACACAACCAGTTCGATCCGGTTCTGTCGTTGTTTTATTTTGTGTCTCTGGTTTTCACTTGGATCCTGGCTTCAGAAACAGCTACATTACATAAACCCTTTTGGATAACTCCTATAATTTTGTTCCCTCCAATTCAAAGTTGAAATTAATTCATCCATTATATATATTTTTATCCTAAAGAAACAATGTTATATTGCCCTAAGAAATAATGAAACTATAATAAAATTCCAAAATTAATGTCACATTAATTTTGGAATTTTATAGTTTAATGATATATGAGAATTAATTAATTCAGTGAAAAGATACAAAAAGTTTATCAGGTATTTATTTAAACATACCGAGTTTTGCTGGTTACATCCCACAATGAAGGCCGTTTTAAATGCCTTTCCTTCAGTTATTCTGTTTCCTCTCTCGGTCTGTGTAAACCAATCTATGCTCTCTCTCTCTTCTTCCTTCGCCTGAACCTCCCTCTCTCTCTCTCTCTCTCTGTGTGTTCAATATTCTCAATAAACAAAACATCTGATTTTTGTGATTACTTCCATTTCATGGTTAGTTTATTTTATTTGTTTTTTTTATTTTTGTTCATGCATGCACGTGGAAACAGTTTCTGGCATTGTATTTGATGTGTGTTTTTTTTATTTATTGATAATGATGATGATTGTGGTTGGATCTAATAGGTTTATGATAAAAGATAGAAAGAGAGATTGAAAATGGCTTACAAGGTTGATCACGAGTACGATTATCTCTTCAAGATTGTGTTGATTGGAGATTCTGGAGTGGGAAAATCCAACATTCTTTCCAGGTTTACAAGAAATGAGTTCTGCTTGGAGTCTAAGTCCACTATTGGTGTTGAATTTGCAACCAGGACTCTTCAGGTTTGTCTTTCCCATTGCCCTGATTTCTGATTTTGGTAATATTATTATTTTTTATTTAATTTTATTCATTGTGAAAATTCTTAATTTTATTTCTTGTTTTAGAGGCTATTTTTACCATTGATCTCCAGTGTATTGGAGTTAAATCTTCTAGGTCAGTTTTTCTAGTATCATTTGCAACTGTTTTATGGTACATTATATTCATGTTATTGTTAGGCATCATCTTAAAATTTACAGTTGTCATGGGGAAGAAACTCAATTAATGGTGAAATCTATAGATTTTCTTCTCCTTGAAAAGCATTGAAACATTAGTGCCTATTCCATCTCGATTGAATTTATGTCTCGCGGACTGGCACAAATGGGTGTTGCTTTTCGTATAAAGGTCTTGTAGTGGCTGATAAATGGCACATAAATAGGCTGTAACATGAACTTGCAAGGCTTTGAATGAGGAAAAAGAAATGAGAAAAGTATTTTGCTAATGCTCGGATTGTTGATTTGCTCAAAAACCCAATTTGGTGCCATTTCGATTTTCGGCAGATTAGTGGATTTGCATCAACCTTTTCATACTAGATTGTGGTGCCAAAACAAGAGTTGTGCATAGATAATTTGATAGCAACCGAAAAAATATCAGCTTGTGATTGCCCTTCTGTGGGTCTTCTGTTTCGTGAGATGAAATCTCTCTGTTGGGTTGGCGTAGTTTACAAGCATTAGAATATCTTCTAGCTGATTAGGCTTGTCTTTATGGATGCAGGTAGAAGGAAAGACTGTAAAGGCACAGATATGGGACACAGCTGGTCAAGAGAGGTATAGAGCTATCACTAGTGCTTACTATAGAGGAGCTGTTGGTGCGCTTTTGGTTTACGATATAACCAAGAGGCAAACCTTTGACAATGTCCAAAGGTGGCTCCGTGAGCTGAGGGACCACGCTGACTCCAACATAGTCATTATGATGGCTGGGAACAAGTCCGACCTTAATCATCTTAGAGCAGTTCCGGCAGAAGATGCTCAATTATTGGCAGAGAAAGAAGGTCTCTCATTCCTGGAGACGTCAGCGTTGGAAGCGCTCAATGTTGAGAAGGCATTCCAGACAATTTTATTGGATATCTACCACATTATTAGCAAGAAGGCACTGGCAGCGCAGGAGGCAGCTTCCACAACTGGAATTCCTCAAGGCACCACCATTAATGTTGCAAATCTATCTGGTAATGTCAACAGGAGACCTTGTTGCTCTAATCAGTAAGATACAAAGTATTCCTCTGTACAAGCAGGAGAAGACAAAGACAATTTTGTTCAATCAGGGCAGATATGAAGAATTTTTTTCTTGTCACATACATATATTCCTCTTAAGGGTCTATGGATATCAGGTTTTTAGTTAATGAGAACCACGGTTTAACATGAAGCAAAGGTGTTTCAAGACGTATTGTTTGATTTGACATTAACGGGCTGAAGAATGTAGGTCGGAAATTATTGTTTGTTAGCATTTTCTGGGATGCAGGGAGGAAAAAGAAATTGTAAGCAAGCGTCATTGTTCATTGTTAGTACTAAAATTATCTTCTTTTGACCCTGCTTATTCAGATTCTTACAAATTAATGTGCAATAAATCTTTTCTTTTATTTTTCAAGTTTGAAAGCTGATCCCGGCTAGTCTAATATTGAAGATTTCCTTGATTTGAGTCGAATCCTATGGTAGAATGAGATTGTTGTGTCTTAATCAGTGGAATTCTATATGATTTTAGCATCTGTGTAACTGAAATACTTCCGAGACTCAAGCATATTTTGACCAGAAAGAGACGTTATTCAAGATCATTCAGAGTAAGGTTCCTTCAAATATAATAACAGACACCCTTTATGACTTCTTATGTGCTACTCATATACTTGATAAGAATTCAAAGAAAAGTTCCCAGGAGAATATCATTATTGATATGGAATCTGCTTTATACAGGTTGTCAAGTCTATTAGTTGATAGTTTAAATATTCGTTTCAAGGAACATCTTAACAGAAACGCCTATAGATAATAGAATCAGTAGGCTACACACAATGTCTGCGCTGCCCTTTCTTCTTTCGGTTTGTAAAATTTTACTCCCTGGAAAATCTTGATGGACCTTACCATGTTCAGAACTGGCAGAGATATTGTGAGAAACAATGTATTAGGTTCTCTTTTGTGGTTCCTTTATCATTTTATGCAACTCAAACACACTCAACCAGTTTTGCATTTCAAAACGATACTGATGAAGATAATATAACACTAGAATGTCAAAAATCTCTTATATGCCTATACAAATGCAGTTGTTTGACATTGACATGAGATGTGTCTCTAACTAGCTTAAAATTGATGCACTGCTCCAATATCTTTAAGATTTGATGGAAAGAGACTGCTACAACGTTATCATGCCCGTAGGCAGTAACATTACTGATCGTTTAATGCATTTCCATAGACTTTTGTTATTCTTTTTTCGTTACCATAGACTGATAACATTGTTGATCTGAAAACTTAACTTCTATTGTGGAGAATCCTGCCTTTTGGTGCTTAACAGGGGTAAATTTGATTATAAGTATGATGAATAACCACTGTCCCTACTCTCTATGCTTTCCTGAAATAGAAAAATAATGCGATGATTCCATAATCCATTATCATTAGCTTCTGACTAGCTAGAAATTTTATACTGAGGTATCAAATTAGTGGCAATGGCATCCACCATAAGAGAATCACCAAGTTTTTGTCAACTTAAGAGTGTGTTCTCCCTTTAGTTTGGCCTACCACTGTCTTGAAGGAATTCTCCAATATAATTTAACTACACATGCAAGGATTGCAAAACGTCAAATTTAACTATTTGAAAAGTATGAGAGCCAGTAGGTGGAATAATTTGAAGTTTAGAATCTATAGCCAGATGATAAATATATATTAATTCAGCTTTGCTTTTGGATTTTTCAATCCAAAATGTGTATGGTAATTTAATTGAAGCATCCAGCTTTGAGTTTTCTAATCTAAAGTGTAGAACCTCTTTGACTGGAAAACACAAGTTACAAACTTGCAGCCAGTAGCAACAGCTTAACATGAACATTGTAAAGAAAAAAGCAGTCAAAAGTCTAATCCCCTTTTGGTAAGTAATATTTTTGCTAAATTAGTGGGTACTCTTTTGTTTCCACCTTATCTCTACATAGAGGTTAAAAGTATAAGAATAAAAGTACCAAAAGTTAACCTTATATTATACCCGCAACCAATAATTTCTTAGCATATATCCAATAAGAACCTAATAAAGAATGGTTCTACCGACAAATTAATCATGACTTAACAATCATACTTTGTTCCTAATAAACTAAACAAATCATTCATAAATCATCCCATTTATATGCTTGACCAATTGGTTTATTTTGGAACAATAAGTCATGATAATTGCAGCACATTTCTTTATTTATCAGGTTCTTACCGGATATATGCTGAGAAACTATCGTCTGTAGGTATTAATATAGATTAACTTTGGTACTTTTATTCTGATACTTTTTTAATTTTGGTTGGGATGATACATAATTTTTTTTTTATTATTGGGATATCCGGATCAGTTTGCGTGTGTTTCAATTAATCTTTGGAGTTCATTGAATACCTTACAAGCTTCATGCAAGTCTCGTACATTTGCTGAGAGCTATAGTATAAGCCACCTCTAACCACCTAAATGAGCTAGCTTTTTACTGGTTAAAAAGAAGATTATGATTAGTAATGAATAAATTAAGAAGAACCTAATAAATGAGGATTGATCTTGACCAAACATCATAGTGTATATATATATATATTTGCTCAGAGCTATAGTATAAGGCAACACTAACCACCTAAATGAGCCAGCTTTTTACTGGTTAAATAGAAGATTATGATTAGTAATGAATAAATTAAGAAGAACCTAATAAATGAGGACTGATCTTGACCAAACATCATAGTGTGTGTGTATATATATATATATAAAGTTGGGTAAAAATTCAGATAGAAACCAAATTCTACCAGCATAGCTTGGACAAAAAGAGAGGGAGACCATATCTTTCCTATTTCTCCTTTATCACTGTACATGAAAATATCAAACTTTTTGACTTCGAGATTAATTGCTGATCATTAAACGTAAAATATGTAAGATGGTTGAGCATCGGTACTATTGCATCTTTGCCTGGTTAACAAACGACAAACTTGAGTATAGTATCAACCTTTTTCATAGAACCATGACAGATGAAATTAAATTTTGCTCTATATCTAACTTACAATTTCTCTTTCACCTTAACATAGTGGAGAACCTTAATAACCAGCTATCGCACCCCAGTAACCAAAAAGCAATTAAACAATTCTCCAACTATAAAGCCAGGCATGCCCACCACTCAAACCCACACAAGTTAGACCTCTCTTAGTTTATCCTTGTTCAGTACTTTCTCTAGCTTGAGTAATCTGCCATTACTGAGGATATGGAGCCGGAAGTGGAGCAGATGAAGAGAGAAAGTGATGAAGAGAAATGGGTTAATGATTTATCTGTAGATCATAAAGGAAATACTCCACTCCGAGCTTCAACTGGTGTATGGAAAGCCTCTCTCTTTATCATCAGTAAGCATTGATTTAATTTTTCATAGTTTCACCATCTTATTTCCACCTCTCTAGCTTCTTGATAATGCATGTTTAGATGGTTAAACATTCGTTAAATATCACCTAAACATAAAGTAATCACGTAACGTATTTTTGTTTATTATTATAAGACTATTATTGTTTGAATGAAGCCCACATGTGACAAACTTTTTTTCCTGGAAAAAGGTTTGTTTTACGCAATAAAGCTGTAGTGCTGGTAACTTTCTTGCGAATGGGCTCGTCTTTGTATTTTGTCTTTGTAGGCGTGCAAGGGGAGAGAAGTTTGTCAACATTGTTGATGCTTGAAAGCTGTTATTTTAGTCTTAATTGAAGAAAGCTAAAAGACAGACATGGCGCCTATGATATAATCCCTGGACCCTGCTTCACTGTCATTTCAAGGTTGCTTTAGACCGAGGAAAAGTAATATATCAAAAATTGAAGGGAAAAAAAAAGTGTACAATAGAGACAAAATACTAGTCAAATTTAGAAGAAAAATCAAATAATTGAGCAGAAAAAAGATTTCACACTATGGTGCCTCAGCCCAAAAACCATACTGAGCCTTGTAGAAAGTAAATAGGCTAATTAGACATTACCCTTTGAAAAACTTGTACATGTTAATATTTTATTGAGTAGACAAATAGAAATTTTATTTTGATTATGCAGTTCTAGTAATTACCGAACCCAAAAGTTTAAATTGTTGATTGTTCGCATAAATTCAAAGTAAAAACATTAGCTTTGTATTTGTTACTTGATTTTGGAGCAGCCATTGAATTCAGTGAGAGGCTGAGCTACTTTGGATTAGCTACAAATCTCATCACATACCTTACCAAAGTGCTCCAACAAGATCTTGTAACAGCTACAAAAAATGTGAATTACTGGACAGGAGTCACAACATTAATGCCCCTTATTGGAGCTTATATAGCAGATACTTACACAGGGCGCTTCACTATGGTTCTGCTTTCTTCTCTAATCTATCTTATGGTAAGCATTTGAAAAGTGATTCATTAATTACCCTTTTCAGAATTCAAGTTTTGGTTAATATAATCAGTATTTTTGGTTCAGGGTTTAAGCCTCTTGACCATGTCTCAGTTCATTCCAAGTTTAAAGCCGTGCAAATTAAATGTCTGTCAGCGGGCAAGGAGTGTCCATGAAGTGATATTTTTCCTCGCAATGTATTTTATATCAATTGGAACTGGGGGACATAAGCCCTGCTTGGAGAGTTTTGGAGGTGACCAGTTTGATGATGATCATTCAGAAGAAAGAAAGAGGAAGATGTCTTACTTCAATTTGTGGAACTTTGCCCTTTGTTGTGGACTCTTCCTTGGTGTAACAGTTATAGTTTATGTGCAAGACCATATTGGTTGGAACGTCGCAAGCCTTATTCTCACCATAACAATGGCAGTGACAATAGTCACCTTTTATGTGGGAAAGCCTTATTATCGATATCGGCGATCAGAAGGAAACCCTTTAGCGCCTCTGTTGCAGGTTTTTGTTGCAGCCATAAGGAAGAGGAAATTGCTTTATCCTTCCAATCCTTCTCTTTTATATGAAGTCTCTAGGTCAGAGAAGTCCCCTGGAAGGCTTCTGGCTCACACGGATAGGCTTAGGTAAATAATATTATTATCTTTTAAAAGGTGATGAATGTGGTTGATTATTTTGAATTGACTCTTGTCCTTGTTGATCCACAGGTTCCTAGATAAAGCTGCAATAATTGAAGATGAGGAAGGCATCGTAAATGAGAAAAGTCGTAATCCCTGGAGATTAGCAAGAGTGACAAAAGTTGAGGAGTTGAAGCTTGTTTTAAATATGGTTCCCATATGGCTAACTGCGTTACCATTTGGAATATGTGTGGCCCAAGCTCCAACATTATTTGTTAAACAAGCTGCTGCAATGAACAGAGAAATCAGCAACGATATCAAGACCCCACCGGCCACCAATTACTCTTTTGGGGCCATTGCAATGATAATTTCCATTACCATCTATGAGAAAGTACTTGTTCCATATATAAGGAGAGTCACCGGCGACGAAAGAGGGATTAAAATCCTCCAGAGGATTGGTATTGGCATGGTACTTGCAGTTTTGGGAATGATTGTTGCAGCCATTGTTGAAAGGAAAAGGTTAAGTATTGCTGATGAAGAGATAATTCAAGGGGGAAATCATAAAGTGCCCATGAGTGTGTTTTGGTTGGCTCCCCAATATGGGATTCTTGGAATAGGAGATGGATTTGCTCTGGTAGGATTGCAAGAGTACTTTTATGATCAGGTCCCTGATTCAATGAGAAGTTTGGGTATAGCTTTTTATCTAAGTGTGATCGGACTCGGGAGTTTTCTAAGTAGTTTTCTCATCATACTTGTGGATCATATCACAGGAAATGGTGCCAAAAGCTGGATTGGCAAGGATATAAATACTAGCCGTGTGGACAATTTCTACTGGTTGCTGGCAGTATTGAATGGGCTGAATTTGTGTGTTTATGTTTACTTGGCAAAGAAATATACTTACAAAAATGTTCAAGGCAGGGTTGTTGCGGCTGATTCCAATAACAGTGATGGAGTGGAGTTAATGCCCTGATATATTTCTTTATCTATGAAGGCAAACTCATGTAAATTATGCAAGATAAAGCTAGTGTTCACATTTGTTTTGTTTTTATGTAAATCACTTTATTCAACTCAAATATCCTGTAACTTACCATTTTCAAGGTTTTGATTAAAGACTTTTGGGACAAGTAAAATTGTGCGGTCGGTTCCAGAGACCTGGGAATCATAGATAAATAACAGATGCCAAAAACTTGTTTTTATTTGAAGTCAGTAAAGTAAATTTTACGATTTTACAAGTAAACTTTACAAGACTGCAAAATGCAATCCAAGAGCCATGGAGCACTGTGTCAATTGGGTTCTACTAAAACCCGAAGTTGCTAGTTCTGCTAAACCCACACACTCGCACACAAAAAGGCTCCTGCTTAAACAGTAACACTGAGCCTTCTGTCTAGCAAGTTAGATCATGATCATAATAAATTCAGAGTCACTTCATTTCCTTCATTCATAGCTATATATCATCTTCTCTCTTTCTCTCCAACTCAAAAGCTTCAATCATGGCAGAAAATCTTGATCAGCAGTCCCATGTGCCCCAACAAAACAGAAGAAACAAGCTTAGAATCACCACTCATACCACCCAAGAACAACCCTCAACTTCACCAAGCTTTCAAACAACACCAAATTCACTTTATCAACTCAACCAGCCAACAATATCACCATCTTCTTCTTCTTCATCACAAATCCTGTTCCCCGGCTGTGTCCAAAGCTTCTTAACTGATTTTAACCACCAGCCCTTTCCACCACTTCACCCTTTTCCTTTAAACTTCAATGCACAACAATATGATCCAGTTTCAGGTTTTGCGGATTTATTGAAGCTCAGAGGTGATGTTAGAAGTTTGGTTCCTTTAGGTCCATTTACAGGCTACGCTTCCATATTGATGCGTTCAAAGTTCTTAAGGCCTGCACAGCATATTTTAGATGACTTTTGTGGTAGTGTATATTTTCAAGCTTCAGACTTTCAAATGGATGGTTTTACTGACAGTGCAGTTCTTAGAGATTTCATTGCCTTTAGTAACAGAGTTGATCGTTCATGGAAGAACTCCAAGCTGATCATGATGCTGGAAGAGGTAAAATAAAAAAATATAAAAAATTCTTTAGAAACTGTTTGGTTAGTGAGAAAATTATGGAAATGAAAAAGGGTACAAAAATAAAATGTAAATTTTATATGTTAAATGGACTGTGGTCAATGTTATCAATTGGTCATTTATGGAAGATAGATTTTTGTGCAGAGTAAATGTAAATGGATTAGCGAAAGTGACCCCTACTCGTGATGTCTTCTTTTGTTTCAGTTGAATTGAATAAATGAAACAGATGATGATTTGATTGTTCTGAGTGAAAATTAGTAATCTTGGGGTAAGATATCTGATTTATTTTACCAACAACAGCAGGCATGACGAAAAGGTGTCTTGTCTTGTCAAATTAAATCATTCTACTGTTCCTTTTTTGTTCTGTTTCGTTTCCAGTGTTATTTTTCTATTACTTTTCTTACCTTTCTGTGCTGATTGCCTGTTACTTTTCTGGTCGCTGGCCTTGTGGATTGTGCTTCCGGTACCCCACTGATTCCTGCCAATACGAAGTTACATAATTCGCTTACTTGCACTAGATGCTTTGTACAGTCATAGCTAGGCCTAGGAGGATTTTACCTCTTTAAAGTGTACTAGGAGAATATTTACACCATTAACACTTGTTCAAAGCTACTGTTATTTTCAAGTTACCCAATTAACATCTTAATGACCAATGGAAGAAGAAGTTTGTTTATAATTGAATTTAGGGAGAGTTGTTCAGAGGGAATGGCAAAAACAATGGATTTAGGCACTATTAGGAAGATGCATAATTGCGTTAGAGTGCCCTAAGACCACAAAATCAATGCATTAAAAATGTTCTTTCTGTCATCAGGTTTACAGGAAATACAAGCTATACTGCCAACAGATGCAATCAGTTGTTGCCTCGTTTGAAACTGTGGCCGGTCTTGGAAATGCAGCTCCATACATATCATTTGCTTTGAATGCCATATCTAAGCATTTTAGTTGCCTGAAGAATGCCATAATGGACCAAATTGTGGTTTCTGGCAAAACTCTTGGTGATGGAATTTTCAGCAAAGACTCTATTCCAGGGCCTGGGACTGCTGAATCAAGTTTCGGTAGCCAAAATTTGGGCTTTCTTCAGCGTCCTGTCTGGCGATCTCAGAGAGGACTTCCAGATTATGCATTATCTGTGCTCAGAGCATGGCTCTTTGATAACTTTCTGAACCCGTGAGTGTAACACTTTTATTTTCTAGTAGATATGTGTTCGCTCCAATAGCACATATTAGTATTCTAAAACTGGTTTTTTCTTTTCATATTAGTTATCCTTCCGATTCAGAAAAGCAAATGTTGGCCCGGCAGACTGGTCTATCGAGGACTCAGGTGAACAATCTTTTTATGTTAATTTTGTGACCAAATTCAAGCTGGAATCATTATTGCAAATTGCTTGGACAGGTTTCCAATTGGTTCATTAATGCAAGAGTAAGAGTGTGGAAGCCAATGGTGGAAGAGATGGATCTGCTTGATCAAGAACAGAGAGCTCAAGGACCATCATCGGAAGCTGTAAATGCTGATGATGTTCATATGACATCTCATCAACTAAACAGAAGCGCTTCTGAGATATTCCCTCTACCCTCACAAAGCGAAAAGGCTCAACAAGCTCCAACTAAACGCCGTAGGAATAAATGTGCCCAAATGTCTGAGAAGAACGAGGAAGACAAGCATGCAACTCACAGTGATTTGTCTAGCGTTCATCACATTGGTTGTGGCAGTGGAAGCAGTGGTGTTTCTCTAGCATTGGGGCTCCACCAGAACGATGGAAATGAGTTGTCTCGGCCCTTCCCTGTAACCATTCCGCGCCATTTCAACCTTGAAATGGATGTTGCGATGGATATTACAGCAGGATTTGAAGCTCAAAATCACCAATCTTGAAAAGGATATCAAAGGGAGGTTAAGCTAATGCATTTGACTACTTACATTGCCTGAAATTAATTTCTTTTTACTTAGTTGTGTTCTAGCAAAATCTTGATCGATCATACAAGTTGTTATCAACCATGAATAAATTAGACAAACTAGGATTGTGGGAATTCTCTTTGTTTTACTTCATGGAACAGGATTTTGCTAGACTTTCTTAGAACTCCTTACTGCCTCTGATGGGCTCTATGTTAAATGGAACTGCGACTTCTTAGTGTTTGACCATGGCTCGCAACTAGCACAACGATTGTTGGGTTCACAAAATTTCATTATGTATTACAAGTAACTTTACAAGACCGCAAAATCCAATCCAAGACCATGGAGCACTGTGTCAATGGGTTCTACTAAAACCCGAAGTTGCTAGTTTGCTAAACCACACACTCGCACAACAAAAGGCTCCTGCTTACAGTAACACTGAGCCTTCTGTCTAGCAAGTTAGATCATGATCATAAATTGAGATCACTTCATTTCCTTCATTCATAGCTATATATCATCTTCTCTCTTTCTCTCCAACTCAAAAGCTTCAATCATGGCAGAAAATCTTGATCAGCAGTCCCATGTGCCCCAACAAAACAGAAGAAACAAGCTAGAATCACCACTCATACCACCCGAACAACCCTCAACTTCACCAAGCTTTCAAACCCACCAAATTCACTTTATCAACTCAACCAGCCAACAATATCACCATCTTCTTCTTCTTCACACAAATCCTGTTCCCGGCTGTGTCCAAAGCTTCTTAACTGATTTTAACCACCAGCCCTTTCCACCACTTCACCCTTTTCCTTTAAACTCAATGCAACAGCGCCTATGATATAATCCCTGGACCCTGCTTCACTGTCATTTCAAGGTTGCTTTAGACCGAGGAAAAGTAATATATCAAAAATTGAAGGGAAAAAAAAAGTGTACAATAGAGACAAAATACTAGTCAAATATAGAAGAAAAATCAAATAATTGAGCAGAAAAAAGATTTCACACTATGGTGCCTCAGCCCAAAAACCATACTGAGCCTTGTAGAAAGTAAATAGGCTAATTAGACATTACCCTTTGAAAAACTTGTACATGTTAATATTTTATTGAGTAGACAAATAGAAATTTTATTTTGATTATGCAGTTCTAGTAATTACCGAACCCAAAAGTTTAAATTGTTGATTGTTCGCATAAATTCAAAGTAAAAACATTAGCTTTGTATTTGTTACTTGATTTTGGAGCAGCCATTGAATTCAGTGAGAGGCTGAGCTACTTTGGATTAGCTACAAATCTCATCACATACCTTACCAAAGTGCTCCAACAAGATCTTGTAACAGCTACAAAAAATGTGAATTACTGGACAGGAGTCACAACATTAATGCCCCTTATTGGAGCTTATATAGCAGATACTTACACAGGGCGCTTCACTATGGTTCTGCTTTCTTCTCTAATCTATCTTATGGTAAGCATTTGAAAAGTGATTCATTAATTACCCTTTTCAGAATTCAAGTTTTGGTTAATATAATCAGTATTTTTGGTTCAGGGTTTAAGCCTCTTGACCATGTCTCAGTTCATTCCAAGTTTAAAGCCGTGCAAATTAAATGTCTGTCAGCGGGCAAGGAGTGTCCATGAAGTGATATTTTTCCTCGCAATGTATTTTATATCAATTGGAACTGGGGGACATAAGCCCTGCTTGGAGAGTTTTGGAGGTGACCAGTTTGATGATGATCATTCAGAAGAAAGAAAGAGGAAGATGTCTTACTTCAATTTGTGGAACTTTGCCCTTTGTTGTGGACTCTTCCTTGGTGTAACAGTTATAGTTTATGTGCAAGACCATATTGGTTGGAACGTCGCAAGCCTTATTCTCACCATAACAATGGCAGTGACAATAGTCACCTTTTATGTGGGAAAGCCTTATTATCGATATCGGCGATCAGAAGGAAACCCTTTAGCGCCTCTGTTGCAGGTTTTTGTTGCAGCCATAAGGAAGAGGAAATTGCTTTATCCTTCCAATCCTTCTCTTTTATATGAAGTCTCTAGGTCAGAGAAGTCCCCTGGAAGGCTTCTGGCTCACACGGATAGGCTTAGGTAAATAATATTATTATCTTTTAAAAGGTGATGAATGTGGTTGATTATTTTGAATTGACTCTTGTCCTTGTTGATCCACAGGTTCCTAGATAAAGCTGCAATAATTGAAGATGAGGAAGGCATCGTAAATGAGAAAAGTCGTAATCCCTGGAGATTAGCAAGAGTGACAAAAGTTGAGGAGTTGAAGCTTGTTTTAAATATGGTTCCCATATGGCTAACTGCGTTACCATTTGGAATATGTGTGGCCCAAGCTCCAACATTATTTGTTAAACAAGCTGCTGCAATGAACAGAGAAATCAGCAACGATATCAAGACCCCACCGGCCACCAATTACTCTTTTGGGGCCATTGCAATGATAATTTCCATTACCATCTATGAGAAAGTACTTGTTCCATATATAAGGAGAGTCACCGGCGACGAAAGAGGGATTAAAATCCTCCAGAGGATTGGTATTGGCATGGTACTTGCAGTTTTGGGAATGATTGTTGCAGCCATTGTTGAAAGGAAAAGGTTAAGTATTGCTGATGAAGAGATAATTCAAGGGGGAAATCATAAAGTGCCCATGAGTGTGTTTTGGTTGGCTCCCCAATATGGGATTCTTGGAATAGGAGATGGATTTGCTCTGGTAGGATTGCAAGAGTACTTTTATGATCAGGTCCCTGATTCAATGAGAAGTTTGGGTATAGCTTTTTATCTAAGTGTGATCGGACTCGGGAGTTTTCTAAGTAGTTTTCTCATCATACTTGTGGATCATATCACAGGAAATGGTGCCAAAAGCTGGATTGGCAAGGATATAAATACTAGCCGTGTGGACAATTTCTACTGGTTGCTGGCAGTATTGAATGGGCTGAATTTGTGTGTTTATGTTTACTTGGCAAAGAAATATACTTACAAAAATGTTCAAGGCAGGGTTGTTGCGGCTGATTCCAATAACAGTGATGGAGTGGAGTTAATGCCCTGATATATTTCTTTATCTATGAAGGCAAACTCATGTAAATTATGCAAGATAAAGCTAGTGTTCACATTTGTTTTGTTTTTATGTAAATCACTTTATTCAACTCAAATATCCTGTAACTTACCATTTTCAAGGTTTTGATTAAAGACTTTTGGGACAAGTAAAATTGTGCGGTCGGTTCCAGAGACCTGGGAATCATAGATAAATAACAGATGCCAAAAACTTGTTTTTATTTGAAGTCAGTAAAGTAAATTTTACGATTTTACAAGTAAACTTTACAAGACTGCAAAATGCAATCCAAGAGCCATGGAGCACTGTGTCAATTGGGTTCTACTAAAACCCGAAGTTGCTAGTTCTGCTAAACCCACACACTCGCACACAAAAAGGCTCCTGCTTAAACAGTAACACTGAGCCTTCTGTCTAGCAAGTTAGATCATGATCATAATAAATTCAGAGTCACTTCATTTCCTTCATTCATAGCTATATATCATCTTCTCTCTTTCTCTCCAACTCAAAAGCTTCAATCATGGCAGAAAATCTTGATCAGCAGTCCCATGTGCCCCAACAAAACAGAAGAAACAAGCTTAGAATCACCACTCATACCACCCAAGAACAACCCTCAACTTCACCAAGCTTTCAAACAACACCAAATTCACTTTATCAACTCAACCAGCCAACAATATCACCATCTTCTTCTTCTTCATCACAAATCCTGTTCCCCGGCTGTGTCCAAAGCTTCTTAACTGATTTTAACCACCAGCCCTTTCCACCACTTCACCCTTTTCCTTTAAACTTCAATGCACAACAATATGATCCAGTTTCAGGTTTTGCGGATTTATTGAAGCTCAGAGGTGATGTTAGAAGTTTGGTTCCTTTAGGTCCATTTACAGGCTACGCTTCCATATTGATGCGTTCAAAGTTCTTAAGGCCTGCACAGCAGATTTTAGATGAATTTTGTGGTGGTGTATATTTTCAAGCTTCAGACTTTCAAATGGATGGTTTTACTGACAGTGCAGTTCTTAGAGATTTCATTGCCTTTAGTAACAGAGTTGATCGTTCATGGAAGAACTCCAAGCTGATCGTGATGCTGGAAGAGGTAAAATACAAAAATACAAAAATTCTTTAGAAACTGTTTGGTTAGTGAGAAAATTATGGAAATGAAAAAGGGTACAAAAAAAAAATGTAAATTTTATATGTTAAATGGACTGTGGTCAATGTTATCAATTGGTCATTTATGGAAGATAGATTTTTGTGCAGAGTAAATGTAAATGGATTAGCGAAAGTGACCCCTACTCCTGATGTCTTCTTTTGTTTCAGTTGAATTGAATAAATGAAACAGATGATGATTTGATTGTTCTGAGTGAAAATTAGTAATCTTGGGGTAAGATATCTGATTTATTTTACCAACAACAGCAGGCATGACGAAAAGGTGTCTTGTCTTGTCAAATTAAATCATTCTACTGTTCCTTTTTTGTTCTGTTTCGTTTCCAGTGTTATTTTTCTATTACTTTTCTTACCTTTCTGTGCTGATTGCCTGTTACTTTTCTGGTCGCTGGCCTTGTGGATTGTGCTTCCGGTACCCCACTGATTCCTGCCAATACGAAGTTACATAATTCGCTTACTTGCACTAGATGCTTTGTACAGTCATAGCTAGGCCTAGGAGGATTTTACCTCTTTAAAGTGTACTAGGAGAATATTTACACCATTAACACTTGTTCAAAGCTACTGTTATTTTCAAGTTACCCAATTAACATCTTAATGACCAATGGAAGAAGAAGTTTGTTTATAATTGAATTTAGGGAGAGTTGTTCAGAGGGAATGGCAAAAACAATGGATTTAGGCACTATTAGGAAGATGCATAATTGCGTTAGAGTGCCCTAAGACCACAAAATCAATGCATTAAAAATGTTCTTTCTGTCATCAGGTTTACAGGAAATACAAGCTATACTGCCAACAGATGCAATCAGTTGTTGCCTCGTTTGAAACTGTGGCCGGTCTTGGAAATGCAGCTCCATACATATCATTTGCTTTGAATGCCATATCTAAGCATTTTAGTTGCCTGAAGAATGCCATAATGGACCAAATTGTGGTTTCTGGCAAAACTCTTGGTGATGGAATTTTCAGCAAAGACTCTATTCCAGGGCCTGGGACTGCTGAATCAAGTTTCGGTAGCCAAAATTTGGGCTTTCTTCAGCGTCCTGTCTGGCGATCTCAGAGAGGACTTCCAGATTATGCATTATCTGTGCTCAGAGCATGGCTCTTTGATAACTTTCTGAACCCGTGAGTGTAACACTTTTATTTTCTAGTAGATATGTGTTCGCTCCAATAGCACATATTAGTATTCTAAAACTGGTTTTTTCTTTTCATATTAGTTATCCTTCCGATTCAGAAAAGCAAATGTTGGCCCGGCAGACTGGTCTATCGAGGACTCAGGTGAACAATCTTTTTATGTTAATTTTGTGACCAAATTCAAGCTGGAATCATTATTGCAAATTGCTTGGACAGGTTTCCAATTGGTTCATTAATGCAAGAGTAAGAGTGTGGAAGCCAATGGTGGAAGAGATGGATCTGCTTGATCAAGAACAGAGAGCTCAAGGACCATCATCGGAAGCTGTAAATGCTGATGATGTTCATATGACATCTCATCAACTAAACAGAAGCGCTTCTGAGATATTCCCTCTACCCTCACAAAGCGAAAAGGCTCAACAAGCTCCAACTAAACGCCGTAGGAATAAATGTGCCCAAATGTCTGAGAAGAACGAGGAAGACAAGCATGCAACTCACAGTGATTTGTCTAGCGTTCATCACATTGGTTGTGGCAGTGGAAGCAGTGGTGTTTCTCTAGCATTGGGGCTCCACCAGAACGATGGAAATGAGTTGTCTCGGCCCTTCCCTGTAACCATTCCGCGCCATTTCAACCTTGAAATGGATGTTGCGATGGATATTACAGCAGGATTTGAAGCTCAAAATCACCAATCTTGAAAAGGATATTAAAGGGAGGTTAAGCTAATGCATTTGACTACTTACATTGCCTGAAATTAATTTCTTTTTACTTAGTTGTGTTCTAGCAAAATCTTGATCGATCATACAAGTTGTTATCAACCATGAATAAATTAGACAAACTAGGATTGTGGGAATTCTCTTTGTTTACTTCATGGAACAGGATTTTGCTAGACTTTCTTAGAACTCCTCACTGCCTCTGATGGGCTCTATGTTAAATGGAACTGCGACTTCTTTGTGTTTGACCATGGCTCGCAACTAGCACAAAGATTGTTGGGTTCACAAAATTTCATTATGTAACTCGATATTTTTTTTAATTGTAGAAAAAATTAAAAGAAAAACTAGCAAATACCAAGTTATACAAAGTGGTTATCTATCGTATTTATGATTTACCTAGTCTATTGAGTTTATAGGTTATTCAATAGACTTTGATAATTAATTGAAGTGTGAATAAATTGGTTTAGATAAACTTCGGTTGAAAAAGAAAAAGAAAAAATAGCATATAACATATAATATGTCGTGTTACTTGTTATATGTGTTATATGTTGAAACCGAGGAAAAAAGATAATTGAAGTTTAGAAAGTAATGTCAAAGAAAGGGGAAAGGAGATATCTTTGCTTCTAATTCACATAAAGGGAAAGAGAATAATTTGGGGTTTTTTTTTCCAAATCCCAAATTACATGTACATTAATTTCAAAATGTTTTCAATAATATTGAAAATGTTGTCAAATAGTTGAAAAGGTTTTTGTTATATTGGAAAAAAAGAACTTTACAATAAACAAATATTAATAATGTATTTCTTTTTATTAATTTACTGGGATTGATATTTGTAAATGAAAAATCTATCAAGACTTGGCTATCATCTACCAAACATTAATGCTACGTGGCATTATTGCAGTGGACAGCTTCATTAACCGACTTCAAAATTCTAGCCTAACACCTCATGTGCACTACAGCATCTCAACTTGTAAGAATATTCCCAGTAAATACTAGGACAACCCGCGAGAGAAAAATAACCTACATCCGTTAGCACCTGAACCAGAAAAAATACTCCATTGAGAATCAAACACGTCATTACTTTCAAAAGATATATGCCACGTAGGATCATGGTCTCACATAAACCCGCGTGCTACAAATACAATACAAGCTAACCACTGAAAATTTTTAAAGTCGGTTGGTTGAGTTTGATGATGACGCAAACCCTAACCCACGACTATCCAACTTAAAAACCAAAAAACCTATACGACAGCGTTTGCACTCATCTTTTTTGTGAAAACGATATCGTTTGGATCCGAAATCCTTTTCTCTCCTTTAAAGTTACGCCGAGGACTGAGGAGGGAAGGACGAGCCTGAAATTTACAGAAGTAGAGAAGAAGAAATTTATGGAATTTTGTGCTGAAACTTTGTAAGTTCAAAATTTTACTCTCATTTGGTACTCTTCATAAATGGGTTAAGGATTTTTTTCTTGTTCATTTTGTTACAGTAACTGTTTTTTATCTTTCTTCATAGCAAATCACTCAGCTTTGTTCAGATTTCAAGAAGAAAACTCAAAGAGAGAAAGAGAGTTTTACTTATTTTAGTATTATCATTATTTTTGTGTTAAGAGATGCAAACGGAAGCGAGAATGGGGGTGGTGGTAGAGGGAGGGCAGAGAGGTTTGAGTTCAGGCCATGGAAGCGTGAGTGTTGATAAGTTGTCAAAACAGAAGCAACAAATGTTGCAGAATCATTCTCAGATCGGTACTATGTCACATCTTCTTGCAGGAGGTGTAGCCGGTGCTCTTAGTAAGACCTGTACAGCTCCCCTTGCTAGGCTCACCATTCTCTTCCAGGTTTGTTTATTTGGCTTTTCCCATTTCTGTTTTCTGAATGATATTTGTTTTGTATAGAGTTAGATTTTTTTATAGTTGAGATTTAATACGGTTTGATGTTTGTTTTGGCTGGAGGAATTTTTTTGTTGGGAGTGATTTTGGCTTGTTGTTGATTATAGTTTTTGGTGTCTTTGGTTTGTGTTAAGAGTTGATGTGATGATGTTTTTGTTTTTGTTTTTGTTTTTGTTTTTGTTTTTGTTTTTGTTTTTGTTTTAACTTTCTTTTATGTTTGTAATTGAATGTTAGAATTTGAATTTGAATGGTTGAGTTGAAAATATTGAGGCGGGGTTGAATGATTTAGATTATGAAAATCTAAATTATATATCAGTAATAATAGTAAGTGCTTAGAGATTGAGGATGTGATATTAAATAGTTGATGTTTATGATATGAAGGATGTGTTGAAGTGATGTTTTCAGATATAGAAGTGCCATTTTGGAGACTATGGATTTTGAGATGCTTTGAAATTATTCTTAACACTTGTATTTGGATTAGAAATTGTTCCTTGATGTTGGTTGGATAGTGAAGGAATTAGGTGGAATTGGTAGGTAGTAGCTTTGAATTTAACCTCGTATTCTTTTGCAACTGAACAGTCTCTTATTGGTTAGTCGTTGTTCTGATGTGTGACTGTTTTTGCCCTCTTACTTGCTTCAATGAAATCATCATTCAATTTTTTTTCTGCACAAATAGGTGCAAGGTATGCATTCTGATGGTGCAGCATTGAGGAAGGCTAGTATATGGCATGAGGCTTCACGAATAGTTAATGAAGAAGGATTCAGGGCTTTCTGGAAAGGGAATCTGGTTACTATTGCTCATCGTCTACCATATTCTTCTGTCAACTTTTATGCTTATGAACAGTACAAAAAGGTTGGTATGATATTCTATATGCATATATATTTTTCATGCAAGACAATCACATCAGTAGATGTTTTGCTTATTTGTCCTTATAGCTTAATTTTTTCTGTGTAGCAGTTACTACAAGTAATTCCAGGATTGCAAAGTCGTGGGGAAAACATGGGTGCTGATGCCTGTTTGCATTTTTTAGGCGGTGGTTTAGCAGGAATAACAGCAGCATCTGCTACATATCCGTTGGATCTTGTAAGGACACGCCTTGCAGCTCAGGTAAGATTAGCATGTTCTCATTGATGTTCTGCCAGGAAGGAAATTTTTTACTTGCTTCTTATGTTTTGTACTAATGCCATGGTAAGATCGTCTAGTGTTACTGAATTTTTATGTGCTTGAGTTTAAATTTTCATTTTATTAATTTAAAAGGTTAGTGGCCACTGGAGACTGTTGTTTGAGTCTGCTTTCACATTGAATTCAAGTCTTCTAAGAACAGGATTAATTAAATGTTGGCCTAACTTCTGGATTCAAACTGCAGTCATGCTAGTTGTTTTCCTCCCTCCTTTCTGTTTGTGCATTTGCTTCTTCATCAACTTAGCTACTATTTTTTTGCAGACTAATGTAATCTACTACAGAGGTATTTGGCATGCTTTACAAACTATTTGCAGAGAGGAAGGAGTTTTGGGCCTCTATAAGGGACTTGGTGCAACACTTCTTGTGCGTTCTCTGTTGTTTGTTTTTTTTTTTTTTTTTTTTTTTTTTTAAATTTTAGTTTTTGCTAATATGATTGCTATTTTTATGTGTAATTGACTGCATTTGACATTCATGCAGGGTGTTGGGCCCAGCATAGCAATTAGCTTTTCAGTATACGAAACATTGAGATCTTTTTGGCAGTCACAGAGGTGATCACTCCATAATTTGATTCAGCAATTCTAGGGTTTGAATACTGCTTTCTTATGATCATTGTTGCATGCATCCATTTCTTATCTGTTAACAATTCTTTGGTATCATTCTTACACCAGACCGCGTGATTCTACTGTGCTTGTTAGTCTAGCATGTGGCAGTCTTTCAGGCATTGCATCATCAACAGGTGACTAATGTTGGAACTGCTACCTTCAGTTTTTCTTGCTATTTTAACTGAGCTGTCTGTAATTATCTTCATTTTCTTGTTGATATACGTTGTGGTGTTGTTTGTCCTATTTCCGGAACCTAGTATTCTTATCTGGTACATTGGTCATATCATGTTTTCTGTCCTTCTGTTTGTGCTAGTAATTGAAATATTTTGTTTGAGTAGTTCCTTTCGGTTATTTGTTTCTTAAATCATAAACTGTTAATTTTGTGGTTACATAAGTTTGTTATCATCATATATTCCTTGTGTAAGCCATGAGTTCAATGGTATCTTTGGATGACACTGAATTTTAACTTCCACATCAAATGTTAATTAGTGGTGTTATTTTAGTTAGCAACCTTCTTTTTAAATACTTACATAAGTTTGATTAGAAAATGTTAATTTATATGTATAGAAGTTAATATATCTAGCTGTTTATCATGCTTTGCAGAGACGGAGATTATGGTGAAGGCTCTGCATTAAGCATCTAACCAAGACTGACCCCTACTAGAGCCACATACCAAGAGTACAGTAGTATTTTTGTCTGGCGTTTGAGAATTTTAGTACGGAAAATAACAAAACATTTACCTTTTCTATCAGTTGCCTGACTTCATCTTTATGTGTGAAGATCTGGTCTGGATTAACTGCATCACCAACATTTCTTCAATAACATGTGTCCCCAAGCATTGCAGTTGGTTCCATCATGGGGTGGTGGTACTATTCTCAGGTGAACCTATACTGTTGTATCATTTACTGACAATGGAAGATTGAACTAAATTTAAAATAGAGTGGTAGCTGGTGATGAATTCATGCATATAGGTAAAACTGACAACTTCATACAAATAATACGCTAACCATTCCTCCTAACTGATAACTCCCACTACATTGTCAAATGCATGGAACAATAGGCAGACTACAATGGGAGTTGCCATCCATGGTTCTATCGCAGGCTGGCCCTGGTTGACAGAAATGCATACATGATTTTGCATTCACGTAAGGCCTAAACCACTTAGCGGGTGATTATTCCTGTTTAATCTGAGGTGATGCATTCCTAATAACATGGTTGTTACCGAGAAGATAGTATTGTGTCTTAACTTGTCATATTATCTTCAGACTGAATATTTACATGCAAAAAGATCTGCCATAGGTTGTATGTTAGCAAGTTTATGAACTGTGTTAATTTTGAGCTGCCATAGAGTGCCATTGCAGCCGCAGTATCAATTGCTTTCTCTGCAGTTCACTTATCTTCCTCAAAGTGAGTACAGTGAATAATATTTATGCTTTTGGTACATTTAAATGGGTTTTGTCCTGTTCAAAATTGATGTTTCATCATACTGTTGTCATAACTGCTGCCAAATTGTTTCAAGCTACTACAAGTTTACAATCTATTGGTAAGCAGGGACAGCCAATGATCTATAGCTTTCTTCTGGTTACTGATTCATAATATTTTTTGTGCTGGCAGCATTACAACATCTTGAACTGGCTTTCTGTAAGCAGTGTCTTTCTATGGTCAACAAGTTGAAAACTATTTAATTAATTCTTAAATATGAGTATTTCAGGCATAATAAGATGTTTTTAACTTCACAATGTAATCTTGAGGTGGTGGTAGTGGTGGTGATTTTCAACCATTTTTATGTATGATTACTCTTTTGATATTGTACTGTTCGTTGAACAAATCTTTTAAAGAGAAAAAATCATTAACATTCATAAGTAGACAGTTCAATTCGGATACTGATACTTCCTCATCCTGTTAGACTAATGTATGGCCCTTTTGAATTTGATATTTGTATAATTTGCAGCAACGTTTCCTCTGGATTTGGTGAGGCGTAGGAAACAATTGGAAGGGGTAGGTGGTCGAGCCAGGGTGTACACAACAGGCCTTTTTGGTATTTTTAGGCACATAATCCAGACTGAAGGGTTTCGTGGGATGTATCGAGGGATTTTACCAGAGTATTACAAAGTGGTTCCTGGTGTTGGTATATGTTTCATGACCTACGAGACACTAAAGATGCTTTTAGCAGATGTTAGTACCAGCTTATAGTTCTGCGACTAAAAGAATGAGGTGCTTGAGCTGGTATGTAATAGGGTAGCCCCTTAAGTTTCATGTGCTTTCTCATTGCGGTTAATTACATGAGACTGCAGTGGGAATTAAATTTTTCCGTGTATAGATAGTGAGGAGTAAACTATGATGTCAAATGTATCTGGCATTGTTGTCCTCCCAATTCTCAAATACATCAATTTGATAGGAGATGGTTTTTTAGTCATACCTTTTTAGTAGCAACAATTTTTTACCTCGCAATGTTCTAACTTAAATTACCGCACTGTATCATCAACACATTTGAGTTGAATGAAACATTTCAGCACAAAAAGCTTCAGTTAGTGACTTGACTTGGTAAGTCCAATGTCGTCTTTTATTCGATGCATTACTATTCTTTCAGTTTAAGTTTACTTGCAAATCCTAATTCTTCTGTAATCAAGTATGAACTTTTTAACTATTAGTATGCAGCTTAGTTATCCACAAGTTTTGCACCCAGATTGTTCTCTTAGATGCCAAGAGAAGCTTTAGAGAGTTTCACTGAGCAATGAAGAGGCATGATTGGAGCATGAAAACTATTGAACCTGAAGAATTATTCACTCTTGGCAAAAGGATAAAATGGAGTATTATTAAGACTTGGAAGTCGTTTGTGACATATAATATCATGATTGAACCTCATTAAAAATATAAGAGGAGAAGCTGCTTAAGCTTCTGCAAGTAAATTAGCTCAGTCGCTTTGAGGGAAAACACTATCTTCAACCCCAGAAGCTCTTGTTAGTGTTTAAAGTGGAAAATTCCCAGTTAGGCGAATATGCTCAAGAGTACGACGTAAACCATACTTATTGACGGCTGCATTTGCAGCTCTGAATCCTCCCCCATATGCTGGAGAAGCATCATGGGCAATTTGGTGCATGAAAAACTCGCCAAGCTTTTTTTCAACCCCAGATCTTCCACCTTTCTTCGAACATGAAGAAGATGAGGAAGCTGTCGATGTCGATGTCGATGGCATGTGTTTAGATCCTGGCAAAACTTCTGACTCAAGCCACATGTATGAAAGCACTTGACAGATACCTTCCTCTACTTCAGGATTAAGATTGCGGTAGCCTGCAACATCAAAAGATAATTGAAAAATATAACAACAGTAGATATTAAAAGATTATTCCAAGAAAAGATAACCAAATGGGTATATATACCTTTTAGGCGCAGCCAACCATGCATCAACTCATGGGCAAGAATAGCACCTGTTAGTAATCTGCATCTAGCAAGGACAATAAATTAATGGGAACCAAACAGAAGAGTCACAATACTCATAAATCAGAATCTTAAGACTCACTGTTAAGCATGCTAAGGAGGAATATATTGCTTGTTAATAACATTACCTAGGAAGACCATAAAGAACAAGGATAGCAGTAACTTCACATTTCCGAGTCAACTTCTGCGGCTGAGTCCTTATTCCTACCAGCCGGTTGCCTCCAATTCTTGGCCTCTTTTGTATCTGGATTTAATCAAATTGAGGATACAGAACATGCACTTCATTAATAAAAGTTTGCTTCCTTATGAACTTGTTCTAAATTTAGACAAGCAAAAAATTATTTTTACAGATTGCTGGTAACATACACTTGTGACAGTCTGCTCTTCAGAAAGACATAAACCCCTTGTCTCTGGCAGGTGATGGTAGCCCTGGAAAACCGCATATGAATCAGAGAAACCTTTTCACAAGCCAAATTCATAAAATTTAGAGCAAAGAAGTGTATTACATTCTTCTCGCTGACAATAGCTTCATTAAGTGCTTGTCTTTCAACAAGAAGCATGGGAATCTGCTGATCTAGTTTCATATTCATTCCTTCATAATAGTCTCTGATGGCATGGTAAAGGGGTTGGCAATCACCAGTGTCCATAATAGCTGATTCCATGCACTCTAAGCACAAACTCCGCCCATCCTCCAAAGAATAGTACCTCGCATTCCAAGACTACATGGAAAACAAAAACATGATTAACACTTTCTTTTTTCGTTTTCGGATATATTTTGGAGATGAAACTATTTTTAACATGGATTAGTACCTCCAAACGTTCACAACTACAGCAGCGAGATGTGCGATCATGTTCATGAGATGGGCAGTACTTTTGGGACCAAAATGGATGGCATCTATACTCAATTAGACCAGCTCCATTTGTAGGAATCTGAAATATAATGAAATGGAATATAATATAATGCAGCAAGCAAACACAATTAGAGTACAATGAATTAATTAAAGTCAATTTTTTCTTACAAATTGGTGGCAAACTTCACATTTGGGATGTGTCAACTCCTTGAAACAAGACTTGTGATAAGGATCCTTCCCTGACAAAGAGAACTTGAGATCAAAAGAAAATAACCAGTTAACAATCAGAAGAAAGAAAAAAGTTCAAACATGAAACTCAGATTCTGGTTCGGAAACTAATCCAAGAAAATCAAACTACCTCATGCTCAGTAATTGGGTAGCCACAAGAACGACAACGAAAGCAGTCTGGATGAAAAAATGTCCCCATACAACCCAAATAGTTGCCATGTCCAATGTCACGGTTACATCCACCACATAATCTGAAAGTAAGAGGATCGTTGACTGCTTTCTTATGCGTGAATACTCAATTTCATAAATTCACATATACAAAAGGTAGGAAATTCTCTAATTAAAACGTCTTGATATTAATTATGTCAGGATTATGTTTATATACAATTGAATTCTTGTGTAAACAGTCATTTCAGTCTAATAACGATGAATCTAGCTATGTTTAAATATGATTTTAACAAAATTTAAATCAGGATTAACTAGAGAACACATATATGAAAAGCTCACCTATATCCTCTTGGATTATAAGGTTGAGGAGCGTAAGGAGGATACGAAGGTATCAGACTATCCTGAACTGCCCAAGCAAAATCTTCATCATTATCTGCTCGCCATCTTTGTCCTGAGAAATACCCACTCATCAACTGTTACCATAATCTCTTTTATATGTTTGCGATCTTTTAGAATTATATCCGAAAATAATTTCTGAAAAAAATTTCAATTAAAAACTGACCATTTGGTCTCTTCGATTCTTCACCAAGAGAGAGTGCAATTGCACGGTCTAATTCATCTTTATCTCTTTCATTTCTAGAACGGTCATCCTGATGACAATAGAAAAACTAGTTAATTAACCACAACTGAACCCACGTAATAATCTAGCCATTACTTTATTCTGCATTAAAAAAAATATAAAAACTGTAGATAACTTGTACTGTAAAAGAGAATCCCAAAAGAGGGCATTTATTATTATGATTTTTTTTTTCCAAAAAGAAAAGATAACTTTCATGCAAGAATATTAAATCGATTTTCAAAAACCTCCTGGAAGATCAATGAAATTTATTTAATTTTGCAGGAGAAAAGAACCAGTGATTTGATCACGTAACATGGTTGCCGGCTTGCAGCGCTATAAAGCACTAAGTTATTACCCTTAATTAAACTTAAACCAGCTTTTCCATTTTAATTTGAGCTCTTTTACAGTCTGTAAAGATTTAATTTGTTACATATGGTAATATTTTAAAAAGTGATTAATAAATAATATCAAAATTTTTTAAAGAAATAAGTTCAAAATATTGTTACCACGGATCGACGTGGTGTATGCCAAACCATGCTTTCTTCTCCGAGAAATGTGGTTGACGGCCATCGCTACTACTATTTCCACCGCCACCAGCACCGCCGCCGCCGCCGCTGCTGCGAGCTGAACCACTGCTCTTAAAAAGCTAAGCCATTTCATAAAGCGAGACTTCTCTCTCGTGTGAAGAACAAAGTCCCCTGCTTACCATAAAACATTGAATCCAATATAACCCCCCACCCACCAAGCAATAAAATTATCTCAATATATAATCAAACGTTTCTCCAAAATCAAAGTAATTTAAATAACTACAATCTTTAAATATTACTCATTACTTAATGTACTTAACACTTTACATTATCATATCTAACATATTAAAAATTAGCTATGTTACATTATGCGAATATAAAATACTGCTTTTTTTTTTTTTTTTTGTTACCAAAGTGTCCGAGCCCGCTTACGCTCACCTCAACTAGTCATCAACCCTGAACAGGCTTCCGAAACAAGACAAGTCCTACAGTCTATGACCACAATATTAATAACCGTTCTGTTATTTGAACCTAAAACTTTTTTTTTTTGTTACCGGGGTGTCCAGGCTAGTTTACACTCACCTTGACTACCCCGATCCTAACAAGATTTCACAAATAGGGTAGTCCTGGTCCGTAATAATAATATTAACAATCGTTCTTGTGATTCGAACTAAGACTATAAGGGGAGCAAATCCCTGGCCCCAAGTCTTCACCACTTGGCTAACTCATTGTTGGTTTATTGCTTGATATTTGAACATGCATATTAATATATACGTATATATAATAATAATAATTCCAAATTCAATGAAACCCTATATGTGTGGAACTACATGTTTTGCCAAAATGGGATAGGCTAAAAAACCAAGGAAAATATGGGAGATTTAATAATATAGAAACATAAATCTGGTATAGGGAAATATTATGATATGTATGAGATTGAAAAAAGAAAGAAAGAGAGCTTACCGTAAATACAAGGATTAGAGATATGGTTGACAGATGAAGAAGGAGGAGCCATGAAGGTACGTGGAAGAAGAGGTGTTAGGTTTCGCCGGAATACAGAAACGAAAACGATAGAAAGATAGAGACAGAGAGGGAATGAATGGAAATGAGTGGAGAGAAGAGAGAGAGAGAGAAACAATGCAATAGGCATCGTTAAATGGGGAGTTGAAAAAAGCAAGAGAGAGGAATCAGAGGAGAGAAAGAGGATGAAGAGAAAGAGATTCTTGGCTTGAGAGGAGGAAGAGAAAGTAGAAAAGAGGGCAGAAACGAAACGATCACACACACACACACACAAAAACAAAGAAAGTTAAATGTGGGCAGAGAATCTGTGAGATGGAGGGTTTAATTAAAGTAACCTTACGGACGGCTGGCTCATATTCTAAGAAATTCTTCAAAACACCCCATCACCAATCGGCTTCATGAACGAGCTGGATAGAATTTTTCATGTCCCCTTTAATCGGCGAGTAAAAGAGGAAGAGGGGGGTCGAGATTATTTCAAATGATCAAAATATTCTCTTAAATTACAAGCAACAGTGAGATTTTGCAACAGAGGATCTGTTATAGGATTCTTGCAAATTCAATATATACTGACCTGTGGACAATGGATTTTCCTTTTTGATTCCAATCAAATTTTATTAAGTTTCGGTTACATATATGTATTTTCATGGAAAGTCTATCGTTGAATTTATGCTCCAGTGTTATTCTTCTTCTTGCTGAGTGCATGGACATGATTATGGGAGAGAGACAAGAATTTCTCATTGGAATAAATTGGTAAAGTGATCAAGATGTGATCATAAGTTTCTGCATGATGGTGATCAGTGAGTAAACTTGAGGTTCAAACTTTCCAAAAGTTTATATGCGTTTAAGTTTACATAAAACATTCATTTGATTTTCATCTTCTTAATTAACAGACCAAGTTCAAGCAAACTCTGCACATATAGCTTTCATTAAGCTGACAGATTTCTCTCAGACTAATAACATGTTTTAAAAATTCTCTTGTGGAAGACAGATAAGATGCTGCATTAATTTTACACATTAAAGGAGGAAACCTTGAGATCTGAATTAAGAAGTTCACCATTTTCAGAACTATAAAAAGCTTTTTTTTTTTTTCCCAGTAATTTAACTCTGATCTATCTGTACCATCAAAGGGGAACATATACCCTAAACACAGGAAGCTCCAACTTTCAAGAATAAAGCCACACATTTTTTTTTTTTTTTTATACCAATATAATTACACCCGCTTTGGCAGCCTTAAACCCATATCCTCAATCTTAAATTCTACATTTATTGCGTTGAAAAAAGATAGGTTGTTGGTTGGCTTAGAATATGGAAAGCAGCTACAATGAGCAACGAGATGAAAGTGGAAATATTCCTTTGCGTGTTGCCTAATATTATCGCGTTGCTTTCGAAAAGCAGGTTACATCAGTTGGTAGCTTAATAAACAGTTCTTTTTTTGTTTTTTTATCTGTGGATTGAGTGAGAGTCAGTTCCTTTCTTTCCATTTAATCTTTTTAGTCAGACACGATCATCATGACTCTTTTAACTTCAGATTTAGACGCCTTTTAAGCGATCCAGAATCACATTTCCACAAAATTTCACCTGCCACCACCATCAAATTTATTTAATTTCTTCTCAATTATGTTTTCTGAAACAGTTCATTTCTTGACAAATGGAAACCATTAAAGGAAAATGTTCCATATGTGCATGAATCCATCCACCTATAAAACGATTGTCAAAGACAAAAAGAACCCATTGCAAAGATTCTTAACAAATATCTTAATCTTTTTTTTTTTTTTTTTTTTTTTGTGACAGCAACAAATCTCTCGGGGCTTGAGGTTTAACGATCAAGTAAATTCCTCAATCGTCACCCTTACTAGGTAGAGGTGTGTGTTTTCCAAGTACTCAGATTTTTGAAGGAATCGAAACCGGAACCGATGGTTTCTTAAAATTGGAAACATCACTACAACAAAAAGGCTTTTAGCTACGATTTTGTTAGCGCGGTTTCAAAAATTGTCGCCAAAGGTAACTTTAGCGACGAAATATGAAATTGGTTGCCAATAGTTTTGCGGACTTTCTAATCCTCCCACGTATGGCGGGAAGCAAATTGGCGACGGACTTAGCGACGACATAATTCGCCATACAATGTTTTTGCCGTCGAAAATAAAAAAAGCGACGCCTAGTTTTTTCGCAATGAACTATATGTCATCGTGGATACTTTTAAGAGACGAAAATAATACCAAACGTAGCCAAAAGTATTAACTGGAACCAGAAAGTTTCAGTTTCGGTTTTGGGTACCCTATAAAATTACGACCCCCCAAAAGTTTTTAAAATGGTAAAAAAAACCTTAAAAACTTACAAAACCCCCTGACACTTGTTAACAAAAATAAAATTACAAACTCATTACTTTGTAAGGTAGATTCTCAAAAGTCAAACCAAATTACTTAAATATTATGAAATAAATATAAATGTATTCACATTACTTTTTTTACAAAAGTTTTTATTAACCCCTACTCTTTAATTTTATTTATATTAGTCTCGGTCCTCGGTTCTGGTTCTGGTTCTTAACTATAGGAACCAAAACCGAAACCGAAATCGCACAGTAACGGTTCCAAAAATTTGGAAACGGACCTACCCATGACTCTGGTTTGGGTAAAAACCAGAACCAAACCCAGGTACCCACCGATTCTAGTTTCAATCGGTTCTTTGAACACCCTTACTAAGGTCTATGGGGACTCGAACTCAAGAGTTTATGAAACATTTTTGCTCTTTATTATCAAGTCACCCAATAGTGGTTTCAAGCCACCCAATGGTGGTTAAATATAATATGCACTTGTTAATTTATGAGTATTCTTGGTTTTTATACTTTGGGCATGCATTTTTCAGGATAAAACCAAGACATTACACTTTCTCTATGATGACACATACACTTAATTAAATCTCAAATAACCTTAAATAATCAGAGACTTCCCTTTTCGGATATTTTCTTTTTTTTCTACATGGGAAGATGAGATTAAGAAGCAATAATGTAAGAAATTCTAATCAAAATAAGAATCTAATACTAACACTCATCTACTTAGAAAAACTAATCTAAATAAAATAAATAAACATGTTTAGTTTAATTCTAACAAATAAAAGGTTATCACTAATATTTCTCTAATCTAGCAACAAAAATAAAGCATATTAATTAAGCATGCAACAATAATTAAATAAAGTTCTCTTTTGTTTAAGTCGTAATAACAATTATTTTTTTTTTTTTTTTTTTAACTGAGGGTGTTTAGTCCATTTTCGTGTACATCAACTAATTTTCAAAAAAAATTATCTTACACAATCCACCGACACCCCTCCAGATAGCTAATGGACAAATGTAATAGTGTTGCGTCTAACGGAGAATCGAACCTAGTACTGTAGGTAATACATTCTTATGATCATTCGTTTTAGAATTTTCTTACTTGGAAACTAAAATTAAAGACACAAGTGTCAAATAAACATAAAGTTTTGTCACTCGAGGACAAAAAATAGTGGATTAGATGAGGTGAGATCAAATTATCCATAATTATAAATATATTAAGGGCTAATCTGATTCTCATTCATTTTTCTTCAAGTTTAATTAAAATATATATGTCTCGTTGATTAAGTTTTGTCAATAACTTCTTTGGCAATGATTTTTGAAATTTTATAATTAATTTTAGAATTTCAAAGTAAACTTGGACTAACTTTTTTTTTTTTTTTTTATAATCAAGGTGTTCAAGAATTTAGTTTGGACTAACTAAGTCAACACTTAGAATAACTATCTGTGACAAATTTGAGATAGAAATTAAAATAATAATATTGTATTATGATCCAGTTTGTTGATTACTGATTTCAATGATTCAAAATATAAAAAAAAAATTATTTATTTCAATATTATTATCCAAATAGGAATTGGGTCCATGGGCAATGGATCGGTCACTTTAAGATGGGCTTTGTTTGCTCAAGCGGAAACGACGTCGCTTCAAATACCCATTCCCACTCTAACAGGAAGAAGAAAAAAAAATCTTCATAGGCAGCTCCGTCGCATAGGAGATGCAGCCATCTCCATCTCATGTTGGTGAGCAAAGGTATCAGGTAGAACAGGAACTGGGGGTAAGAACGG